TGGGTGCAGAGTGGCGGAAGGCCCGCCCGCTGATAGTGGGGAGAGCAAGGCAGGGGACGTGAAGCAGGCCGGAGCCCACTGAGCGGAGGAAGCAAACAGGGTGGTAAAGGGTTAGGCGGTCAGAGAGGTAGAGGGGAGCAAGACCATGGAGGGCTTTGAAGGTGAGGACCAGGATCTTGAACTGTATCCTCTGTGCGATGGGAAGCCAGTGGAGTCGGGCGAGGATGGGGGTGATAGGATCACGGAGTCTGGTGCAGGAGAGGACACGGGCTGCAGAGTTCTGGATGATCTGCAGCCAATGGAGGGAGGAGTTGGGGAGACCGACAAGCAGTGAGTTTGCATAGTCGAGCCTCGATGTAATGAAGGCGTGTATGAGGGTTTCGGTGGCCTGGAGTTTGAGACAGTGTTGGAGCCAGGCGACGTTATGAAGTTCGGGGAAGGCAGAGTGGGTCATGGCATAGATGTGGGTAAAAAGGATAGGTCTTGTTGACATTCAACTGAAGAAAGTTAGCTCTCATCCAGGACAAGCGAGAGACCTGGGTTCAGTTCCCAGCAGGGAGATATGTTGTCCAAGTTTCCTTACTCCACATGCCTCTGTTTGTCTGGCAGTAAGTAAGAACCCAGTTGTTAGTCGATTGATGGATCACTTTTCAGGGGATAGTAATTCCTTCAAAAAAATAAATTGGTCACTTCAATCCACACTGGGACACTGCTTTGCGCAATTGACTACTGCGTTTCGCCCACAAGATATACAGTCAATTCAATATTACAGTATATTCTGTGAAGCGCTTTGAGACGTCTAGAAGATGTGATAAGGCGCTATATCAAATGTAAGGATTATTATTTTTATTATATCACACTTTGAATTGTTGTATTTCATATAGCAACTATAATGTCAAAATATCTCAAGGTGCTACACAGTGAATTACTGCCAAGCATAGTGAGTATGTATTTGTAGGCCAAAATGTTGTAAGAGTGTGATAACTTCAGGTACTTTTTAACCACTTTCAGGTTTAGTGATTCCAGTAGTATTAAGTGTAAAGAATTCAATAACACAGCTGCGAGTTACAAGCAACAAAGGTAGTAGTTGTGCTAAAATCCATTTCTATTAGAAATTCTTAATATGTATAAAGATAACAATCAGTACTTTCTGCAGCAAAATGAATTGACACCAATTTTAAACGTTCATTTCATATCAGGGTCAGAATGTTTGGCACTTTAGGCGACAGAGGCCGCCACCTCGTGGCTAAAATCGGAACTTGCACAACTAAGTCATTACGCGCAACTTTCACCTTGGGTTGGATACTCTTAAGCACGGTGACGGGTGTCCTTAGCACCCTGTGGCATCACTGAAATGTCTCAAAGCTCTTAACAGGATTTCTTGTAAAGTGTAATGACTGTATTTATAATATCATGGGAACCGTGTATATGTAGGTTTAAGGTTGTGAAGGGTAATTGCAGGACAGACACTAGGAAGTACTTGTTATTTTTTAACACACAGAAGGTAATTGACATCTAAGACATGCTACCAGGAAGAGTAGTTGAGGTCAGGACACTCAACTCATTTAAGAAACAGCTTGATATTGCAATGGGAAAACAGTAAGTAGAGGATTCTGATCTGCAGAATGAGTATTCTGGGATGCATAGTTCTTAGATGGTCTGGAGTTTGTAGAGGGTACAACTGAGGCCATCGAGCAGAGTATTGAAATAATTGGCAATTGCTTTCCATGGGTAATAATTCCTTCCAAAAAAAAAAAAAATGGTCACTCAATCCACCACTGTTTGTGGGACACTGCTGTGCACAATTGGCTACCACGTTTCACCCACAAACTAGTCACTACACTACACTTTACAGTATATTCTGTGAAACGCTTTTAGAGATCTCAACGACATGATAAAGCACTATATCAAATGCAAGAATTATTATTGACACTGGAAGTCACAAAAGCGTGGGTGACGGTTTGGGCTGTGGGGATAGATGAGAACTGCATCGAAGTAGCCTGCAGAAATCTTGGTGGCCACACAATCCTGAGCTTCCGGTTTCTTGCCACATTAACTCGCACTCTGACCTCCCCATCCACGGTCTCCTATGCTGTTTCAATGAGCCACAACTCAAGCTCAAGGAACACAGCACCTCAATTATATCCGCCAGGAACCTTACAGCCCTCGGACCTCAATATTGATTTCAACAATTTCAGACGATAACAGCTCACCTTCCCCCTCTCCCTCTTCTGTGTCCATTACCATGTTGTCTGGGTCCCAGACATACCTTTTCTCTCTCTGGTCTGCCTATTTGGATGCAATTCCCCACCCTTTGTTTTGCATTATTAACACCTCTATTCCCTGTTTTGTTGCAATCCTCCCCCTTTATTTTGCATCATTGACATCTCTTTAACCCATCATCCTGTGTCTTCTACCCCATTTTCTCCTTTGTCTTCCTTGTCCTGCTTCCCCCCTCTCTGTTAAAGTCCTTAAAAGCCTCTCCCTCCCAACATGCCCTAGTTCTGACGAAGGGTCGTGGACCCGAAACGTTGACTCACTTTCCTTTCTCCATAGATACTGCCTGACCTGCTGAGTGTTCCCAGCGACTTCTGTTCTTGTATCACCATTCAAGTTTGAACAGACAAAAATTGAGGGTTCTTTTAATATAAGTAAAGGTCGTTTATTTCAGTCCTTCCTGCCTAGTATGTAATCATGTTTCTAAGTTTAACTGTGGAAGCGAAGGGCTGTCAAAACGAAGCGGAGATGTTAATGAAGTGGTCCTTGCTGGACAACAGTAGGAAGCTTTCCAGACAGTGCTGTCAATAGCAAGTTATGCTGTTTGTTCATGCCTTCATCGCATCCAGGCTCGACTACGCAAATGCCCTGCTTGTCGGCCTTCCCAACTCCTCCCTCCACAGGCTGCAGATAATCCAGAACTCTGCAGCCCGTGTCCTCTCCCGCACCAAACTCCGTGACCCCATCTCCCCCGACTCCATTGGCTCCCTATCCTTCAGAGGATCCAGTTCAAGATCTTGGTCCTACAAAGCCCCCCCATGGCCTCACCCCACCCTACCTCTGGGACCTCCTAACCCCCTATCAACTAACCTTCCCTCCGCTCAGCTGACTCTGGCCTGCTCCACCATTGGCGGGAAAACCGTCAGTCACTCTGCCCCCAACCTCTGGAATTCCATCCCCAATCACTCCGCCTCACTCCCTCCTTAGCCTCCTTCAAGTCCCGCCTCAAGACTCTCTTCTTCGACGATGCCATTGGTGACCCCCGATAACCCCCGATGACCAGGTCTGAAATGCTGTACTCTGTCCAGTGCCTTGGGACGTCCTCCTGACGTGAAAGGCGCTATACAAATGTAATCTTACTGTTTTAGCTGACTTAGCTCCAGCAGTACCCAATGTGCAGTGTTGTCCTCAACCCTCGGCTCTTGCCAACCTATGCATAATATTCTCTGGAATTAGGTAAACAGGATGCATCCAACCAGTGTGTATTCCATTCCAGACATAAATTTCCATGTGTAGTTGGCACACATATGTAGAACTCAGCTTGAATACTCTTGAAAGCATGGTGATGTGCTGCATGTGTCAGATCAAAACAAAGTTATAAAACGAGACTTGATATGATCATACAGAGCAAATGAAATCTGCAGGAGTCCTACTCACAGTATGTCCTCGTGTTCTGAATGTGTATTCTCTATATAAAAAAAACACAAAATGCTCTGCACAGAAAGTGACACAGAAAGTCACTGTTACTGCAGTTTTCCTAAAACACTTTTGTTCACTGCACTTTCCAACTCATTCCCATATCCTCATTATCTCAGCGTCTGAATGTCTGGCATTAGGAAAACCATAAAAAAAAGGTTAATTTAATATTCCATTCAGCTTGGTCCCTTTTCTCCAATAACAGCAATTTAATGAAAAGCCCCAAATAGTCAGCCACAGAGACATCACAAGCTTATAGAGATGGATTAATCTGTACAGTAAAACTTGCATAAATCTGATGTATAAATCGTACAATCGCCCAAGTCATACATCTATCTGCCCAAGTCCCATTCTAGAGTTTATATTCTCTGCAGGTTTGACATAACTGATACTTTGCATAAGTCATATTAAATGTATGGTCCCAACTGATGAGACTTGTGAGATTTACTGTACTCAGCTTCCATTGAATGAGACATTTGCAGAGTCCTTGTGCCAAGTCAAGCAGGGCTCATGTTGGGAAGTAATAATGGAAAACAGCATAGAATGTGCAGTCCTGTAGCTCAGTGGTTAGAGCACTCGCCTCACAAGCGAGAGACCTGGGTTTGATTCCTGGCAGGGCGAAACCTTGGGCAAGTGTCCTTACTCCACACGCCTAATAATAATCCCTCCAAAAACAAAACAATAATAAATTGGTCACTCAATCCACAACTGTTTGTGGGACTCTGCTGTGCGCCATTGGCTCCCCCATTTCACCCACAAAATAAAGTCAATTTAGTTGACAGTATATTCTGTGAAGCACTTTGAAATGTCAACAGTGAAACAAGGTGCTATATCAAATGCTAGGATTATAATTTTTTTAAATAAACCATTTATTAATCTGCAAGAGGAATTTTATTTTTTAATTGAGCAATCCTGTGGTGTGTTTGCAACATTAGTTTGAAATTTGCCCTTAGCTTAACATTCTTACTCATCAGGCTGAACAGGTAACCTCAAAGTTACTTACAATTGTAATAATTCTTCCATTTGATATAGTGCCTTATCAATCTTAAGACTCCTCAAAGCGCTTCACAGCATATACTGTAAAGTGAAACGCAGCAGCCAATCGCACACAGCAGTGTCTCAAAACAGTGGTGGATTTAGTGACCAATTTGTTATTTTTTTTTGAAGGAATAAGTGATCCACCAATTAACTAACAACCAGGTTCCTACTTACTGCTAGGTAAACAGGCATGTGGAATAAGGGAACTTGCCCAACGTTTTGTCTTGTTGGCAATATTGTAACATTACAGACAAACCTCAGGCTTCGAATGATTGAAATCAAACTTTATTTTCTCTAGCATCATTAGCACAAGTACTAAAATAGACATTAGGAGGACGGTACAAAGAATTTCTATAAAATTACAAGAAAAAAAAATTAGATCTTCTCCATCTTGGAGATTAGCTCATCGCAGATTTTTGACAGCTCCACATTTTCTTTAGTCTGCAACAGAGGGGAGATAGAATTAATTTCTGTGCACTATTTGAAGGCGAACACAATCACACGTTTTAAAATTGGACATGTTCCATGCAAACTGAACACATTTAAAGAGTGTTATCTGCAACAGTTTTAAAGTAATAATTCTTGCATTTGATCTAGTGCCTTTCACATTGGGAGGCATCTGTCTCAATGTGCATCTCAGGACTGACTGTAAAGTGTGGTGACTATTGTGGATCCATGCGGATGCTAGCGGTCAATCCCATTTCCTTCTAGTCACCCATCACCAATACAAAAATCTAGTCACAAGTACACTTCCCCTCTCCAATCCCAGATCCCTCAGCTCCCACCACTAGCTCAGATGACAGTGTCAAGCACTTTGAGATGCCCTTTCAACATGAAAAAGAGTGCTGAGCCAATGTTATGTTTCTGGAAGGGAAGTGGACTCACGCTCCACTTTGCTGTGCCCACAGATTAGCTCCTCCACTCATCTCTCAACCCTGGGAAAAATACAACAGGAACTTCTCCCTTTTACAATGTAAACTTAGTCTTGGGCCGTTTTCATAGCTATTGACACTACATCTTGCTTTTAATCCAATCTAGAGAAGTTTATTGCTTTGTCTGATTTCCACCTGAACCGAGCCAAAGGTTGAACACGTGTTGAGTTAAGATGATCTTAACTGGTGTAACAAGTATTCACCTCATTGCCCTTGGGTTAGAAAAGAGGTGGGGAGGGGAAGAGAAAGAGGAAAAAAAATCACACAACTCCAGCAATCTGGAGTAGATAGCCTCACCTTTTCTTCCAGGCTTCGCTCAATTGAAGTGACTTTCATTTGCTCCTTGCGCAGATGAGCTTGGAGAGCAGCAACCTCAGCCTTATATTTATTCCGCACCTGGGCTATCTCCTCATTTGCTCTTATTAGGGACAACAATAAACATAAATAGAACTCCAGACAAATTAAAAGCAAACAGTACAGGGAATACATATTGCCCATTAAAATCAACACTTGTTTGGGGTTTTAGGCCTCAAGTCAAGGGACGTCCGCTGGGAAAAGTAACAGCTTCTTCTGCATGGTCTGCTAAACACACATCAGTGTCCACTAACATATAGTATTCCTTGCATTTGATATAGCGCCTTTTCACGGCTTCAAGATGTCTTAAAGCGTTTCAGAAAATATACTGTAGAGTGAATTGATTGTATGTTTTGTGGGTGAAACAGCAGTCAATTGTGCACAGCAATGCCCGTGTCAGTCACAGATTGAGTGACAAAATTATTATTATCTTATACTTTTCTTTAAAGGAATTATTATTACTCCTGGAAATCAGATATCACAAGAGAGAGAGTGCGAAGAGAGGGGGGTGGGGGGAAGAGAGAAAAGGGGACNAAAAACACATATATGAAAATTTTTCAGACCTTCGCGTCAGTAACGCCACTATTTTTACAAATAAAATGGTTGATTAAATGGGTAAAAGTTTACTCTGGCCAACGTCAAATAAATCCTTTATAAATCAAGGTGACTTTCTTCACCTTCTCTGAAATTTAGCAGCAAAGTGTCAAAATAGGGACAAATGCAGTCCCATGTCCACCATTAATTATTTTTCCCCACTGGTGAACAGTAGCAATGGAGCATATGATCACTAAAGAGTTAAAGCAAAGGTTATAAGAGAACATTGAATGTTTTGCCACAAATAGCTATTGAATCTTTTTAAAATATTTGATAAATGTTTAAATAATAGCATTTGATATAGCACCTTGCCCATCAGGTGGATGCCTCAAAGTGACAGTATTTTGTAGGCAAGTGCAGAAGCCAATTTACTTCAGTAATAACCTACGAACAGTCAGGCAGGACTGTTATTAGCAGGACCTGGAAGGATAGACCAGTTAGTTCTGGGGGCAGCAACTCTTCTCACTTGGCTCCTTTTAACCCTGCAATCCAAAGCCCTAATGGGATAGGTGGTCCCAGCTGGACAAGCAGCAGCAAGGCTTGCCAGACAGCAATATCAATGGCAAGGTATGCGGTTTTAGCTGGTTAGACTCCAGCAGTTACCCCAACACACACTCTGGGGTCCACAAGCCTTGGCTCTGGACAACCTGCGCCTAATACTTTCTAGAATTAGGTAAGCAGGATGCATCCCTCCAGGGAGAGAGTGCGCATTTGATTCCAATAATCTATCTCTAGAATTTTCACATGTAGATGGGATGAATGCAATTCTCAGCTTGGTTTGGATTTTTTTTTTTTGAGCATGGGGATGGGTTTTCGCATGTGTCAGACACCAGGCTGAAAAGTGAAAATAGAATTCAAGGACACTCACAGGTTCAATTTCTCTTCAGCATGAACTTTCAGTGCTTGATATCTCTGCTCATCTTTCTGAATCCGAGCAAGATAATCCTGGGCGCATTTCTTTAGGGATTCCTCATTCTAGACCCAATCGGTAAAAGAAATGTGCATATTTTATTGGACAATAACGCAGTTAGTCAACAGATTATTTTAGGTCACATTCAACACAGTTACTATGTTCTACATATCACAAATCAAATCTAACTAGTTTAAAAAAATGTCTTCAGTTTATTGCTTTTTTTACAAGCACATTTCAATCCTAGCCATAACTGCAAGGTTCTGGGCACTGTTACAATACAATTTACATTTAAGTAAGGCTTTGTTTCAAAGTGCTTTGTACTGCTGGCTGGGCTTAGTCTAAGCACCAGGGTAGGAGCTGAAGAAATGAAAACAAAAGAGGCAAGTCTTGAAAGCGGCTTTGGAAGTGGGGATGAAGGGTCAAGTCGGACAGAGTTCCAGAGAGGAGGGGCCAATGTCTGAAAGTGTTAGCCCCTCTGGACATGAAGCAGGCCGGAAGTGCTCATTGAACAAAGCGTTGGTAGAGTTTCAGGAGGTCGCAGAAGTAAGGTGGGGTGAGGTCTTGGAGGGATTTAAATGCGAGAATGAGAATCAATTCAATCTGCTGAGGGATGGAGGGCCCGTGTAGCCGAGAAAGCATGGGACAATAGGCTCGTGCCAGAGGGAACATGAACTGCAGAGTTCGGGATATTCTGCAGGTTGTGTAACGTAGGAAACAACAACTTGCAATTATATAGCATCCTTCACACAGGGCTGCGTCTCAGAGTGCTTAACAGTGGCGGAGCCAGATGCCAAGCCAGGGGTGGGAGGAGGTGACCTTAAGCACAGCTGAAAAGGAAGGTCTTTAGTTGTGATTTAAAAGAGGAGGCAAGGAAAAAGGGATCGGACAAGAATTCCAAAGCTTTGGGGTGGAGTGGCTGGAAAGTGCATCCCACCAATGGTGAAGCAGAGGGGACAAGGGACAAGTAGGGGTCCAGAGCCCACTGAACGGAGGGAGCAGGCAGGTTGGTAGGGAGTCAGCAGGTCAGACAGGTAGGAGGGGGCAAGGCCTTGGACAAGTGCCGGTCAGGGAATGGATGTGTGGTAGAAAGGAAAGCTGAGGATCGAATCTGATGCCCAAGTTGTGTGTGGGTTCGGAGAGTCTGAGGGAGAGCAAGGGAGTTTGAGGAGTTCAACGAGCAGGAGAGAAGATGGTTACATACCTTTTTGTACCCCTCAAGTATTTCTTTTTGTTTTTCAAACCTTCTGAACAATTCAAAATATGACTTTTCCACAGAGTTCAGTTCCTTTAAGGCTTGTAGTTTCTCTTCCGCTACTTTGTTCAGTTTGGATGTGGCCAATTCACTCTTCTTCTCAGAATCCTCTGAAGATCACACAGAAAGTGCAAGATGTAATGCCACAAAACTGATCACCAAGAATCCTCATTGAAAGTGTCTCTTCTATATATTTAAACACAATTTGGCACACAGAAACTAGCCACCCGTTTTTAAAAACAGCTGGGGTGTTTAAATTAGATGCTTAAATCTACAAAAACTTGCATTTATATAGATCACTTCATGAGGAATAGGGTCTCGGAGTGCTCAATAGTTGGAGGAGCTTGATGCCGAGCCAAAGATAGGGGGAGGTGAACATAGGCACGATCAAAGAGAAAGGTCTTCAGGTGTGATCTGGAGTCCTGTGGTTAGAGCACTCGCCTCGCAAGCAAGAGACCTGGGTTCTATTCCCAGCAGGATGAAATGTTGGGCAAGTTTCCTTACTCCACACGCCTCTGTTTACCTAGCAATAAGTAGGAACTCGTTGTTAGGTGATTGGCGGATCGCTTTTACGGGGGTAATAATTCCTTCAAAAACAAATAATAAATTGGTCAATCAATCCACAACTGTTTGTGGGATACTGATGTGTGCAATTGGCTGCTGTGTTTCACCAACAAAATATACAGTCTACTAATTTTACAGTATACTCTGAAGAGCTTTGAGACGTCTCGAAGAAATAATAAGGCGCTATATCAAATACAAGGATTATTATCTGAAGATGGGTGGAGGGGTGGAAGGTGGAGGGATTCAGGCAGAATGTTCTAGAGTTCCAGGGCATCGTGGCTGAAAACACTGCTGACAATGATGATGGAGCGGAGGGCATGAGGGGGCAGTGGTGGAGGCCGGAGTCAGTCTATGGTTACTTCATAGTAAAATATTGCAAAAACACACCCATGATGGGATGCTCATTTAACAGTAAAAACATTAACTCACCAATCAACTGAGACATTGTTTCTGAATACTGAGCAACAATCTTTCTGCAACAAAAGGCATGCTGAATATTAGACAAAATGAACAGGCATGAATATGACAGCGTTGGACAAAGTTTGGTTATCATACAACAAATTACATTTGTGCAGCGCCCCTTCATGTCCAGAGGATGTCCCAAGGTGCTCGACAGTCAGGGATTTGGACCAAGCAGGGGATTGGGATCGGGAGGGTTGGAGGGCAGAGAGGGTAGGGGGGTGACTGAAGGCACAGTCTTGAGATGTGCCTTGAAGAAAGCAAGGGAGGGGAGCAAGGCCAAGGGATTTAGTTCAGCCGGGCAGGGGACAGGAAGCATGCTGAGCGAGGGAGTGGACAAATCAATATGGCATTAGCATGTCACAGAGGGAGGAAGGAGCAATCAATCACATAGAACCTTGTATACTCAGATACTTACTTCATGTCTGCATACGGTTCCAGAATTGCCTCATGCTTTTTTTTCCACTCTGCAATATCGCGTTCTTTATCAATGACCTGAAGAAACAAGTTAATGTGTCTTTTCCCACAAAATAAATCATGTTGTATAGAAATGTAATGCAAACAATAATGTGGGACAAAAATATGGGATTGACAAACAGGTGAAATTTAAATATACCAACAAGTCCTTGAGATTAAGCAACCACAATTTAATTCCATCTATTCTAGAAAACAACCATAAGAGGGCTCAAACTTTTTTTTAATAAAAAATAATCCAGTGTCTCCATACAAAACCAGTCTTTGGGGGAACAGAATTATCCCACTCAGCTCTTGTTAATCCTGCAAATTAAAGCCCTAATGGGTAGGGTGGTCCAAGTTGGAAAAGCAATGGGAAAGTTTGCCAGACAGCATTTTCAATGGCCAGCTATACAGTTTTAACATAGCTATTCCAGCAGTATCCAACAGACTCTAGGGTCCCCAAGTCTAAACTCTCACCAACCCGTGCCTAATATATTCCGAAATTAGGTAAGTAGGGAGGTTCTTTTATTTGTGGTTGGAGGGGCATTGGGATCAGCGATTGCTGCATCCCCTTGGCTTGAAGGAGGCAAGGGAGGAAACAAGGTGCATGGAATGTAGGATGGAGTTCCAGAGGGTGGGGGCAGATGCTGAAGGCCCAACCGCCGATAGCGTGGCAGGGACATAGAGCAAGCCGGAGGCTCCTGAGCAGAGCGAGTGGACAGGTTGATAGGGGGTTAGCAGATTGGAGAGGTAGGAAGGGGCAAGTTCCACAGAGGGCCTTGAAGGTGAGGACGAGAATTTTGAACTCGATCCTCAGGGACAGGAAGTCAGTGGAGCCGGGTGAGGGTGGGTGTGATAGGATTATTTGTGCAATCTTTGTTTAACACAAGCAGAGTTATTACTGTGTCAGTGTTTTTCAGCACAATTATGGGAGTTAAAAAATTACAACTCCCACACACTGAAGCATTTTATCTGGGACGTTTGACACAGGACAGTCTCAAAAATGTCATCCCCAGACTGATTTGCAGCCACAGGGTTAAAAAGCAGATAACAGGAACAACAACTTGCATTTATATAGCATGCATCACACAGGGTAGAATCCCAGAGCACTTGATATAAGCAACACAGCAACTACACATCCCATTTGTAGGGCTCTGCTGTTGCCAATCAGTTGGCCTTTGGGTCTTCATTCTGCACCCAGAGGAGCTGGAAGCCACTTTTCTGACCTGATAAGAAAACTGCTTTACAGTGCTGGTCACCATTCCCAAAGATAATAGGTCTGCATCAAGCACAACATGGAAAGCATTTGCACACAAATGCTGTTCTGAATTCCTTTCTGGGTGGGATCCCAGCACCAGCAGCCTTAGGCTATTTAGAGGCTCCAGTTTGAACTGTTTTTGAAGAGTCACGTAATAAACGGCATCAATTTAATCCCTCAACCATAATTGTAAACGGTCGCTGACGGAATATAAATTGTTCAACTACAAATATCTCACCCCTGGAATTCCACCCCCCCATTATAATTTCAGGTAGATAATTCTTTACCTCTTGGCGTACAACTTGAATTGCAGCATCCATGTCCTTTTGGCTGTATTTTAGAACTTCAATAATAGCACCCTCGGCAGGACCCATGGTGGATATAAAGGCAGCTACAGGATCAACAGAAGCTGGAATATCAGGGACCAGGGTAGAAGTGTTCTAAAAAAAGATTTGTAGTAAGATATTAACAATAATAATCCTTGCATTTGATATTAGCGCTTTTCACGTCTTCTAGACGTCTCAAAACTCTTCACAGAATATACTGTGAAGTGAATTGACTGTATATTTTGTGGGCGAAACATGGCAGCCAATTGCACACAGCAGTGTCCCACAAAGTTATGGATTGAAGTGACCAATTTATTATTGTTTTTTTGAGGGATTATTATCAGGTGTGTGGAGTAAGGAAACTTACCCAAGGTTTCAACCTGCCGGGAATCGAACCCAGGTCTCTCACTTGCAAAGCGAGTGCTCTAACTACTGAGCTACAGGATTCCAAGTAGACATACAACAACTTGCATTTATATAGCACCCTTCACACAGAGTAATGCCCCAGAGCGCTTGACAGAGTCTGACACTCCATACTATGTTGAAACCAAAGACAGTTCTCATTGAAGAAGACAAAGGAGACTCTGGGATTGAAACACAAAAGTGAAGGGAATGCCGATGAGGAGGAATCTCTGAGATCCCACTGTTATTACGACAAAACCAAATCTTTCTTTGACAACATCAAGCCGGGGTGGGGGTGGGGAGAGGGAGAGAGTTCTCAGACTTTGAATACAGGAAGGACAATAAAGTGACTGCATAGTATACAAGCTGGATATCAAACCGGATTTTAGACCTACCAGGTCCAGAGAATTTGTTTAGTTTAACCTTTTTTTTTTGACAACGAGAATGAAGGTTTAATTTCCCGTATATTGGTCGCCAGCACTGGGGGAAACAAGCAGCTTGACTTCAGTGGGGGTACAATACACAATGATTGTTGTGGAGAAGGACCATCTTTGAGATGTTGAGGATTAAATATTTGTCTGAGTTTATCAGCAGAAGGACAATTCCAAAGAAAGTTCTATTGTATGGTTTGGATGAGATGGAAACAATACTTCATTGGTGCTCTTGGGTATTCATTGGTGTGAAAGGGTTTTTTACTCCAGAAATTTGCTAATGCTGGAGGGTAATGCTGTACACTCACTGCAGGGTCATCACTGTGACCTCGTCCAGACCCACTGCCATTCATCTTGAAGGTCTGCAGTGTCATTTTCTCTGTGGAACTCTAAAACTTAGCTTTACTATAGTAGAAAAATACTTTTTTAGAAAAGGGATCAGAAAATAGTTTTCCTGATGAAGGCGACTGAAAGGCTCCCTCTTGCTGCTGTGAAGGCTTCTCGCTTGCCAACTATTGACACTAATAACTCAGCTCGTCCCAGTATTATTATATTTTTTGCTTTTGAACAAACTGCAGAGGGAAAAGTACAAGGTTTTTTTTAAAAATTGCAGTAGAACTTAGGTGAAGACGTACAAATTTAAAATGATCTAAAGAGGAAGAACCTAAATTTCTAGCCATTTGTTGAACTCCGTTCACTGGTGAACTGTACAGTGTGTAGTCGTGTGTGTAGTCGTGTCCTGGTGACATTGTTACCGAACTACAAAAAAATAATAAATTGGTCACTTCAATTCACGACTGTTTGTGGGACACTGCTGTGTGCAATTGGCTGCCAAGTTTTTCCCACAAAATATACAGTCAATTCACTTTACAGTATATTCTGTGAAGCGCTTTGAGACATCTCAAAGACGTGATGAGGCGCTATATCAAATGCAAGAATTATTATTATTAGATTGCTCCTTGTTCCTTTCCATAAGTACTCTAAACCAAATGATGTTGTGATCACTGTTGTCTAGATGCTCTCCTACTGAAACCTGCTCCACTTCATTCCCCAAAACTAGATCCAGCACTGCTTCCTTCCTCTTTGGGCTGGAAACATACTGATCCAGAAACATTCATCTTTAATAATGAGTTAAGAATCAATCAACAGAGCCTGATAAGAAACGAGGGTGCTCATTTCCCTCACACCCTTCAGCTTAATGTCAAAGCAGTCATGAGCCATTACAGAAAGATGCCGTTATGGAATTCTTCACATAACAACTTGCATTTATATAGGACCCTTCACATGAAAACACTCACACAAGGAAATAAAAGCTAGAAAATGCCAAGATTACCACGCTTACCCCTCTCTCCTCCCACATATTGTTCTTATACTTTTTGCAACATTTTAAAACAGCAAGGATAGCAAATTTCTCAATTTGGTTAGTAAATTCAAAGTTTTTTTAAACAATCATGCGATTACAAACAGAAAGTTGACAAATCCCTCTCAACGCTTCAACTAAAAAGATTTAGGATTCCCATTGAGTATGGAGTTTAAGCAGCAGCTGCTTGCCTCTCTGCAGGCCAATCAATCTCAACCCTTCAGCTAAAAGGATTTATGATTATTATTTAGAAATAGATTTCATCAAAGGAATCTGGTAGAAAATGGGAGGCTAGATAGAGCAATGGTCTACTCCTTCCTGAAATGAAATTACCAATAGTCCTTCTTCTACAAAAAATAGATTCCCACTGTCGGGATAGTATGTTTTGAGTTATCCCAGTGCTCCCTCAAGACTGTAGGGTCTTGACTTCATGACTGAATACCAAAAACAACCATCTGCAGATATGACTTTTAATAGACTGGTCTATTCTACCCTCTGAAGTTAGCTTGGGATTTCAGTCACCATCAATTCCAACTGAAAAAAGACTGCAAAAGAAGTGGTCTGAATAGTGAGCTGTCCTTGTTCCTGAGGTAACCACAAAATTAAAAAAAAACTGTAGTTGTTTCAGTTACTTACAGTCATTGTGAATAAGTCCAATTCTTTGTATCTTTCTTCAGATTGATTATCATTGTCAGTCAGTTTGGCATCAACCAAATCCGTGCCTGTACAATGCACAAGGCTGGAACTGTGGGTAAACAAAGAGCTTTGATCAACATGCAGTTTCTTAAAAGCGTTTTCAAACCAAGTTAGCATCCAATCAAAATATTTCATCAAAAATGTTGACACCTTCATCTCCAGAAAAGTTTTAGATAAGAACAATGTGCAAGAGAATAACAAAATGGAAGAGTCCATCTGATCGACTGGTTCAATTTACTGAATATCAGTAATATCCTGTCTGATCACTTCTTTCTCATCCTGTCTCCCCCACCACAATTTTAAGTTTATTGAATTCTCTCTTGTAGAATAAGCAAGTATTTAATCCCAAAGGGGTTGTTATATTACATGTTTGGTAATTTTAATAAGTTATTGTCACTTTGTGCATGCTCAAAAGAATTAAATGAATCCTCACACAAGCAAGAAAAGTGCATTTACTAAGAAACAGCAAATTAACATTACCAAGCTATCGCTGAATCAACCAGACTAGGGTTCATCTCCACAAACTTATGTAACTGTTTGACAGGACTGTCCCGGAGGAGAGGATCGAACTTCAGGTACAGAGACTGTTTTCTTAAAGCAGATGTGTGAAACTGAAAAACAAAATAAAATCTCAGATCCAGGCAACATTAGTTTAAAGACTTACCTAGGTTCTCCTAAAAAGGTAGAGAACCATTAAATAACATTAGTGCAATAGATTGGGAATTCACTACAAGTAATATTCGACAGAACAGCATATTGCAGTTCAGTTTTCTGTGTTCAACTCGCATTGAATTCTCTCCTGAATCCATAAGTGAGCTGTTTTACAAACCTCCAACAATATAAAGCTTTTAGTAAAGCTACATAAAACAGAAATAAACATTTAAGTCCTAAGAAACTGCCATTATAAATGAGATTATAAATACATTGCAGTACTATGTAGAAAAGTATTATAAAAGTACTTACTCCATATAAAAATGTAGGCAACATCAATTTAATCTACCACAATTCGACATTAAGAAATTATGTACCTACATTTATACAATTACATGAAAGTTGTAATGAAAGTTGGTCCTGAAGCTCGACAATACAATAAACATGCAACTTAGTTTATAGCACTCACCGAAGAACCACCAAATTGTTCCAGGTAATCAATTTCTATTGGTTGATTAAATGTAGGAACTGGAACAAAATAGCACAGAATTAACTTGAAAACATTTCTTTTTCACAGTGGGATATGTAGTGAGACAGTATTAGAATGTACATAGAAGGTTCAAGGGCATCTGATGCAAAATATAATAATTCTTTCATTTGATAGTCTTATTTGTGGCTCCGACTTCCTTAACCCCCCAGTGTATCCATCACTCACTATACTTCACAACCTAGGCATCAGATTTGATTCCTCAGCCATCCTTTCTACCCCACACCTGATCCCTAACCAGGAACACTTTCCTCCTCCACATCACCTGCCTTCAACCACACCTCACACTCAACTAAGCTGAAACCCTTATTATGCTTTCAGCACCTCCCACCTAGACTTTTCCAAAGCCCTCCTCGCTGGTCTCTCCGACTCAACCACTCAAAACACAAATACTGCCCATATCATCACTTGTACCGAGCTCTGCATCCCCTATCACCCCAGTCCTTGCCAGCCTCCACTGCCTCCCTGTAGCAGAACAGATCAATTTAAAGATCCTTACTTTAAAATCACTTACAAATCACTTCATGCCCTAGCATCTTTCCATCTCTGAAACCTACCTGCACCTTACTCCTCTACCCACCCCCTTTGCTCAGCCCAGCTCCAACCTTCTGCGTAACCGTCAACCCACTATTCCATCATCAGCAGCCATGCCTTCAGTGACTAAACTCCACCTCAATTCCTTCACCTTGCCTCCTCCTTGCCATCTTCAGGAACTTCAATCACGTTCCCTATCTCAACAACTCAGCTTCAACCCGACACTATAAAGCGCTCCAAGACGCTACACCGCATGAAAGACTGTATGAATGCAAGTTGTTTCTGCTGAGTGGTCAATTTTGAGCAGAGCCCAAATTGATGACATCGCCTCCACACAAATCAATGTTCAAACAAAAATCACCACCAACAAGCACAAGTGAAGAAGAGCAAGAATAGGACTATTTCAAAGAAGCTTTCACTTTCATCAGGCCCATTAAGCTGGTTGCGAGTTCTCATACCTCACTCGATAATCACTCTTTACTGCTTCTATGCATCACTGCAAGCATCATCTCCCCACACTATAATGATAACACTTGGCAAAGATTGCAAACACTGGTGTGGCAATGCTAGGTTAGTTTAACCATTAACACTGTAGAACTGGTAATTGTTAGACCAAAACGCCAAACCAGTGTGCTTGAAAAATTAAATCCAAATCAGAAAGGACAACAATCTATAGTATGGTTGTTATCTATAGGGACATCAGGAATTAGCCACAGCTGCTATACATCAATACACTGAGTACTTCAACACACTTAAATTATTGTGAGATCTTTTAAAAAGCCTACTTTGATCAGCAGGCTTGAATTCTTCATCTTCCCCAATTGATTGAAGTGTAGCAAATGAGTCCCTTGCAGCAAAGTCAACATTAAGCATATGCACAGCTTCAGTTTCAATCTTTGCTGACTGTCGGATTTGAACTTCAGTAGTTGCACTGTCAGAATTAAATAGCTGCTCCTCCTTATCAGTGGCATCTCTGGTAGACAGGCCATTTACATCAGATGATGGTACAGAATCCTGCAATGAAGAAATCCAAGGAAATAATCTTTTGCAAAATCATTTAACAATTTTCATCAAGTTGCCAGCAGCACATTGGGAGGACACCCAAGGGGTTGAAATTTGAATTATAAAACGCAAACGCATTCATAGCAAAATGAACAAATCCTGAACCTAGTTTTCTGCAAGTTATTTTAAGAACTACAAAAAAACTGAACTTAGTTAAGACTTTATTTGTAACATTCTAAATACAGTACTGTAAAAATAGCAAATTTAGACCAGGTGAAATTTCTCCCCAACCCCTGCTTGAAGTTTTATTTTCAGAGCACTAAAATCCACCATCGGTCCTAATCCACTGAACCTTCTCTGGAAGGTGTTCATCTACAAGACTAGTGAACTGTGCTGAAGCAGGACCCACAAAAACATACTTAATACTCATGTTATGTATTAAACACTTGAACCACCATTCATGGCCAAATCAAACTATCCATATTTTACACCTCATTTTACAAGATGAGGAAGATCTAAAAGCAGGAGATCCATACAGCTACCACAGTAAACATTCAAAGCAGCACAAACATTAACTTTTTTGTAGTTTTGAAAGATTTAAACAGTATACACATTCGTTTTCAAAAAGTAGAGCTCAGGAAATAGTAATTACTACTTGCCTGTGAGGTCGATACAGGAGCTGCTATCACCTCCATTATTGGGAGTACTTCACAAGTGGTCCTGTCAATATTAAGAGACCAGTTCAGTTAATTGAAACTTCCAAGTTAAAACTTCAAATTAAAGATCGAAGGTTTAACAGCACATTATGCAACATTCATTGGGCGTATGACTTGTTTTCTGTCAGCATCTGCTAATTCAAAGGTGGAAAGGCCAAAAGCATCAGGCCTGATGTAGTTTAATCTATAATAATAAGTGCTAGCAGCACCAAAAAAATGTAATGATAATCCTTGCATTTGATATAGCACCTTACCCCATGTCAAGCATACTGTAAAGTGTAGTGACTATTTGTAGGTGAACACAGCAGTCAATTTGCACACAGCAATACCCCAGAATTAAATGATCATTGTTATCTGGAAGATCGTTAGACAAGACCCTAGGAGAATTTGCTTCTCTTTTCAAACAGTGCTTTGGGATTTTTAATGTCTGCTTCAACTGGCTGATGGACCAAAAAACATTTTGAGGGCATCTGTGAAGCTTAAAATTTCTGAATTTACATGAAGTTGATCTACTTACGATTCCACAGGTTGGTTTGGAGCACTGACAGGAAGCTCTCCAGTATTTTGTAGCGCATCACAGTGCGGTAACTCTGGTACATTGTCCTTCATAATAGACCTGTAATTTTCCAAATCTTCAAGTAACTTTGTTTCAGAGTGAACCACTGGAGAATTAGCAATTTTGGAACCTCCACCAAAAGGATTAAAATTAACATCATCAAAATTGTCCTGTACAACAGCATAATCCATCTTTGGGGGTGGAATATTATCCTGATCAATTTTCTCATCAAGCATGACAGGTTTCTTTGTTTCTAATGGTTTCTTTGCACTTTTCTCCTGGGCTTCAACTCGCTTTTTAAGTAAAGACTTGTGCCCAGCTTTTACTCCCAGTTTTTTAGGGGGAGGCTTCTTCTGAACTCCACTGTTGTCATTAAATTCAAACTCCAACTTCACCTGTACCTCAGGGGCAGCACTAGTGCCTTCCACCTTCTCTGTCATGTGAACTGACGGGTTTGGTGCAGAGAAGGGTGAATTCTGCAGTTTTGATCCTCCAGTTTTGAATGGGTTAATGGAATCAATATCATCAAAATCAAACTCGTATGAGGCTTTCGGGGGAAGCGGTGAATTCTGCACATTTGTCTTACTTGCAAAGGGATCACTATTCTCAAGGAGATCCTCAAAGTTCTTGCCTTCAACATCTGTCTCAGGAACATCTGTCTTGGCAGGCACATTTGTTGTCGCATCTAACTGATGATCATCATTGCTGTCACTAGCATTGGCTTGCTCAGTTTTCTTTGGCAATACTTGATCACTTAATTCTGAAACGGGAATGGTGTCATCCAGAAAGCCAGGCTCAGATGATTGCTTCTGAAATCCAGATTTTGTTTCATTGAGTTCTATGGATGGAGAGTTGAAGACTTTCGAAGTGCCCTGAAATGGGTTCATTGTGTCAAGCAGGTCAAAGTCAAACGTGTAAGATCCTGATGATGAAACGTTCTCTTCATTGCCAAGTCCTATGTGACTGGTAGATGTACTCTGGTTGGCCTCTGATGATTGCAGATCTTTGCAAATGTGCAAATTTTAACAAATTGGTCATAAATCCACATATAAATTAATTTCTCATTTAAAAACCTGTTACTTTGCTTAAATTTTGAATATTACAAGTCAATTAATCACAATCTGAACATGATTCTCTATAAAGGAAACAATAATCAGAATTCTCATCCTCAGTTTTACTTTAGGAAGAGGTGAATAGTACATTCGCATTTTCAACAGCACACAAAATGTACTAGCCCACTTAATGCAAAGCATTGTAGAGGAAAACACCTGATTTATACTTTAGGCATCATCACATAAACAACACATTACGTTTGTATAGCGACTTTCACGTCGGGAGGGCATCCCAAGGCGCATTTCAGACCCGAGCTGGGGTCGGGGGGGGTTGGGGTGTAGAGAAGGGAGGGGAGGTGGCCGATGGAATGGTCGAAGAGGAGGATCTTGAGGCGGGACATAAGTACCTGACTAACACAAAATACAGTCCCTTAAAAAAAATTAAGACAATACAGTACACCACAGCTAGGCTCTTTGTGTAATAATGCTGCCACCAAAATACATGTGCAACCTAACATGTTTAAAACTAAATGATCTCTTTAACCCATCTTAATAAGCATTTTGTAAATGACCAAAACACAGCAGTAAAAGTGTAGACTCACAACATCTAGTGTGTAATTTACACATATTATCTAGTGAAGTTATGGTTACATTTGATAAGAATAACAAAAGTTGAATAGTTATCGGAAATAACTAATTTGCACTACGGAGTTTTGCGAGGTTAGGTTCTATAAACCTTGGTTATATAATTACCTGGTTTCTGTGGTTGTTCCAACCCAAAGCAATCTAGTGCCTCAGAAGCGACTCCAAAATCTTGATTCCTACAAGTAGATTCACAAAGTCAAACATTTAATTTACCAACATTATAATTTCCAAACAAAACAAATGGTATCCTAAATGGTCATTTGAATACATTAACCTCCACATGCTCATTATAATACAGACTGATTTGACAGACCCAAGTTACTGTATTATAACAGTCTGTATAGATTATGAAAAAAAAAAAAATTTCTATTCAAGTATCGATAATTTTGCGGAACATAATTCAACTCCTAAAATGAATGGTATCAATTTAATTTTTTACTCGAGATGAGTGGTTTTTGCTTCCTGCATTATATAATGAACAGGTTAGGAGTCATTCAGATCAGCATTCATACCAAGATTTGATGAGATAAGAGTTCAAGATTCTGTAGTTGCATAGTACAATGTTTTCTCCTGTACTGATAGTTTAAGATTTGATAATCAACACCAAAAGCTTTAGAAAATCTTTGTATGGATACGTTTGTAGAGCTTGCATTTAGCTCTCCTGTTGAATAGTTGAAATGGGGAAAATTGAACTTACTACGCAACATTTTAGTGTGGTAAACAATCTGTGGGACATTGTTGTGTGTAAATTCCCCACCAGGCTCCGTGACCCTATCACCCTCATCCTTGTCCGACTCCACTGGCTTCCCATCAGAGGATACAGTTCAAGATCCTGGTCCTCACCTTCAACAACAACAAGATTTCATTTATAGAGCGCCTTTCACGTCGGGAGGACGTCCCAAGGCGCTGGACAGTTGGGTCAGGACCCGAGCAGGGGGGAAATGGTCAGAGTGAGGGGAGGGAAGGAGCGAGGAGGGGGTAGAGAGTCAAGAGGAGAGCTGAAGGCACGGTCAAAGAGAAAGGTCTCGAGACCGGCCTTGAAGAAGGAAAGGGAGGAGGTAAGGCGAAGGCACTGGGGGATGGAGTTCCAGAGCCTCGGGGCTGAGAGGCTGAAGGCCCGGCCACCGATGGTAGGGCGGTTAGGGCGGGGGATGTGGAGCAGACCGGAGCCAGAGGAACAGAGGGTACGGGCAGGTAAGTAGAGGGATAGTAAGTCGGAGAGGTAGGAGGGAGCGAGGCCTTGAATGGCCTTGTAAGTGAGGATGAGGATCTTGAATTCGATCCTCTGGGGGATGGGGAGCCAGTGAAGGCGAGCGAGTGCGAGGGTGGGAGTGATGTGGTCGCAAAGCCCTCCATAGTCTTGCTCCCTAACCCCCTACCAGCTCCCTCCACTCAGCAGGCTCCAGCCTGCTTCACGCCCCCCACCTTGCCCACCCCACCTTTGGCAGGTGGGCATTCTGCCACTCTGCCCCCACCCTCTGGAACTCCATCCCGCACCTCCTCCGCCTCGCCCCCTCCTTTGCCTCCTTGGATTTATACAGTGCCCTCCACGCCAGACGGCGTCTCAGAGCACTTTAAAGTTTAGGATCCTGGGACTAAGCCGGGGGGAGGGATGGGAAGGTGAGCAAAGGCTCAGTCGAAAAGAAAGGTCTTCAGCAGAGACTTGAAAATGGGAAGGGAGGGAGCGAGACGAAGGGAGTGAGGAAGGCAGTTCCAGAGCCTCGGGGCAGAGTGGCTGAAGGCACGGCTGCTGAGGGTGGAACGGAGGACTCAGGGGACAAGGAGGAGGCCAGACCCAGAGGAATGAAGGCAATGGGTACTGTTTTGGGAGGAGAGGTCAGAGAGGTATGGGGGTACAGAGGAGTGCAGGGACTTGAATACAAGGGTGAGAATCTTGAAATCGATCCTCTCTGAGATAGGCAGCCAGTGTAGTCTGGCAAGGACTGGGGTGATCGGGGAGCGGAGTTTCGTGCAGGTGAGAAAACAGGCAGCGGAGTTCTGAATGAGTTAGATATTATGGACGGTAGTGGATAGGAGACAGGCGAGGAGGGCGTTGTAGACCAGCCGAGAGTTGACAAAGGCATGGACCAGAGTTTCAGCGGCTTTTGGGGAGAGGTATTGGCGGAGACGGGCAATGCGTCGGAGGCGGTGCTGGTGAGGGACCGGATGTGGGGGAGGAAGGATAATTGGGAGTCGAAACTGACGTCTAGGTTGTATACGGGTTTGGAGAGTTTTAGGGGGAGGTCGGGTAGGTGGAGGAGGTGAGAACCGTGAGATTTTTATGACTTTGACGAGAGCCGAAGAGTATGGCTTCCCTCTTGTCAGCATTCAGCTGAAGGAAGTTTGCGCTCATCCAACTCCTGAGGTCTGACAGGCAGGCTGACAGAACATCAGGGGACTGGGGGTCGCAAAGAGAGGTGGAAAAGTAGAGTTGGGTGTCGTCTGCATACATGTGGAAATGTACCGCATGTCTGCGGATGACATCCCCAAGAGGGAGCATGTAGATCAGAAAGAGGGGGCCATGAATGGATCCTTGGGGTACCCCACAGGTGACCAGGAGAAGCCGTTTATGCAGATGTACTGCTGGCGGTTTGTAGGACTCAAACCAGGCGAGTGCGGTCCCACTGAGGTGAATGACGGAGGAAAGGCGGTGGAGGAGCATAGCGTGATCAACTGTGTCGAACGCAGCAGAGAGGTCCAGGAGGACAAGGAGGCAGAGGGGGCTCTGGTCACATACAGAGAGGATGTTGTTTGTGACTTTCACAAGCGCAGTCTCTGTACTGTGAGCAGGGCGGAAAGTGGACTGGAGGGGTTCAAAGAGGGAGAAGGTGTGCGCGAAATTGGTTTGCAACAACGCGTTCTGGAACTTTTGAGAGGAAGGGCAGGTTAGAAATAGGGTGGTAATGGCTGGGGTTTGAGAAATCTAGGGAAGGTTTTTTCAGGAGGGGAATGATGACAGCAGTTTTGAGGGAGGCAGGGACTGATCCGGAGGAGGGACTGGTTGATTATGTCAGCCAGTAGTGGGCAGAGGAGGGGGAGCTGGGAGCAGTGTGACCAGTAAGTTGGTGGGGAGGGGGTCGAGGCAGCAGGTGGTGGGTTTCATGGAGGTGATGGTGAGTGAGAGGGAGAGATGGGGAGGAAAATGTAGAAAGGGGGTGGTGGTAGGAGCAGATAATGAGGAAGGTGAGGAGGGCAGAGAGGGAGTGGTGGGTGACAAGGGGCAGGTGGATGAGGCTGCCTGGCAGATGTTCAGTATTTTAGTTGAAAAGAAGTCCAAAACCTCCTCGCACTTGGCATTTGATACGAAGATAGAGGAGGCCTGAGTGGGGGAACAGAGGAGGTAGTGGAAAAAAGGATTTTGGGGTTGCATTTAGCCTCCAAGATGATGTTGGAGTAGAAGGCCGTTTTTGCGCGTGTCAAAGAACAGCGGTAGCTGTGGAGATGCTCGAGCCACAGTTGGCAGTGAACTGTCAGGCCAGTTTTCCGCCATCTGCGCTCGAGCAGACGGGTTTGGGTTTTTTGGCGGCCGAGATGGTTATTGTACCGGGGGGGATCAGGTGGGTTTGGAGATGGTCCTGGATTTTAGGGGGACGAGGGAGTTGAAAGTGGAGGAGAGGCGATCATGGAGCAGCTGGACGGCTGCTTCAGGATCTCCACGGGTGGAAGGCCAGACGGATAGGATGTTTGAAGATGAAAGGGCCTTTGTGAGCGTCTCAGGGGGTAGCCCATTCCAAGGGCGGTAGAGAATGGTTGACGGCTTGTGAGATGTTGAGGGATGTGAGAGGAGAAGGAGATGAAAAAGTGGTACAAGATGGCCTTGTCCACTATGCTGAGGTCGGAAATGTCAAGGCCGTGGGTGATGAGGTCAAGTGCATGACCACAGTTGTGGGCGAGTTTATATGGAGGTATCTCAAGACCCTCCCCTTCGACCGTGCTTTCAATCACCCTGCTTCCCCCACTGCCCTCAATCCCAACCCCCAGCTCGGGTCCGAAACACTGACTGTCCAGTGCCTTGGGACATCATCCTGACGTGAAAGGCACTATATAAATGTAATATTGTTGTTGTTGAACCTGCTTGCCTTTTTTTTTATTATTCGCACACACAAAGCTCAAATGCCAAAACAAACTTATATTTACTCTTCCTTCCACATTTTTTTAAAATTAAAAACAGTACCCCACTGGCTTTACAAGTGTCAATCCATTGCCCTCACCCCTTTTTCTCAGCTTCATTTCCCATTTTTCCTTGAATCTCTGCAGTATCCTCTAATGCAGCAATTTCTTCCCAGTTGTTATCCATATGTGTTCCGAGTACTTTGCGTGTAACAGGGTCTCTAACAGGGGTTTGGAACGAAACCTGCAAAAAAAAATGTTTTAGGTCAATAATTGAATATATTGTGAAGTGTTTGCAATATTCAGTAACTGACATCGCCAGGATACAAAGAAATAAGCACGATTTGCAGTAACCGTAGTTTGACAAATTGGTGCCCATTAAGACACAACTGAACCACTAAATCTAAGAAGCCTTAGAATGTCTGAAGAATTGTTTCCTCATTTTGCAACACAACAATTTACATTAGTATAACGTGTTTCATGGCGGGAGGATGTCCCAAGGCCCTGGATAGTCAGGGATTTGGAGCCAAGCAGAGAGTTGGGATCAGGAAGGGTGGAAGCCAGGAAGGTTAGGGGTAGGCAGGTGACTGAAGGTACAGTTAAAGAAGAGGATCTTGAGACAAGAGAGAGTGAGACTAGTTCTAAGCGCCCAGGGTGTGGAGGTGCTGACAAGAGCTAACCAGAGGGCCTCAGTTGACATTCGTAGAAGGAGTAGCAGGAAAAGGAGAGAAGCAAAAACTCTTGATATCAGTCCTGATACTAGGACTAATATCAAGTTTAAAGAAAATAACCCAACACAAACAGTAATCAAACTGCAGAGATTATGCTGGAACACCATGAGCACAATAGCAATTAGTTCAGTTCTCAGATATGTACAACCCTCCTATGTGCTCCCAGATGCCTCCTCTGCCCTCTCCCCAGCAGTAACTTTAAGACATGCAGTGAGTAGCACATCCAAAAAGAGGTAAGCAAGACTGTTGCCTGTCTACAGTACATGAAAGAATGCATAAACTAGGAGTCATTTTTTCTTACTGTGTATCTCATTTACTTACTAAGGAGCCCAGTGCCACAAAACTCAACTGAAATTTTCAGTGAGGCAAACTTAACAAAACAGAGGATACAAAAGAGGCAGCTGCCTGTAATAAAGTTAATTGAATATGATAGAATGGGTCAGATACAAGGAGAAGGGGGATTAAAGTGGTTCAGATACAAGGAGGGGGGAATAAAGTTTGAAAAAAACAATACAAAGTTTGAAACCTTAAAGCATAATTGTGCCACCCTGGGGTCATTTCACACTTAAATTAACTTTAGCTGCTCAAATACATTAGAATCAAAACCTAAAGTTCCAAGGTGCATGGTTAGTTGCTAACCGAATAGCTTAAAAATGTAATTAGTGGGTTGAGAACTAGATTTAAGTTTTGGCCTGGATACTAAGCCTGGAAAAGAAACATGTGCAGTTTTAGTCGAAAAAAAAGGTACTACAGATAACATATCATGCATAAGTTGTATCAGTCAGGACCATAAAATTAATACAATTTACGTAAAGTATGAGTTAATACAAACTTGCATATACAATGTAACAACAACTTATTTACATAGCACCCTTCACACTGGATGGCGTCTCGGAGCTCTTAAATGTATGCAAAATTATGCATAAATTGGATCTTATACGACTAACACAACAAATACAAGTACATACAAAGTACCGGAAGTGTTGATTCTTTCAAATAGAGATTAGAGTTTTCTTTTAGGAGATAGCATTATGGGATATAGTACGTAGGTAGTCTGGGACATATGTGCATGCAACCTCCAGGAAGGTGAAAGGCGAACTAGATGGACCTTTTTTCCATCTAGCATTTCCTATGTTCTTATTAGTCTTCGTTACCAACTTGCATTTTCTGTGCTCGTTTCCAGAGTACATTGTAGTGTACTGCGTACTTCATCATTGTAGCCGGTATGTGTGCATGCAGCGACTGGTCACGACTTTGTTTCCTGTAGTTATTTCAAATGGAATACTGCACATGCATACTTCATGGCAGCTGGTAAATGTAGTAAGGGGCTCTGTCCTTTCTCCCTCACATCCGCACCACAACTGGCACCGCCTTCCATCACCTCCGGAACATCGCCAGACTACGGCATTACCTCACCCCTCACGCTGCTGAAACCCTGGTTCACGCCTTTGTCACCTCAAGGCTGGACTATGGGAACTCTCTCCTCGCCGGCCTTCCCGCCACCTCCCTCCACACTGCAGGTCATTCAGAACTCTGCAGCTCGTGTACTGTCCCGCACCAGACTTCGGGACCACATCACTCCCACCCTCGCTCGCCTCCACTGGCTCCCCATCCCCCAGAGGATTGATTTCAAGATCCTCATCCTCACCTACAAGGCCATTCACGGCCTCGCTCCCTCCTACCTCTCCAACCTACTATCCCCCTACCTACCTGCCCATACCCTCCGTTCCTCTGGCTCCGGTCTGCTCCACGTCCCCCGCCCCAACCGCCCTACCATCGGTGGCCGGGCCTTCAGCCTCCCAGCCCCCAGGCTCTGGAACTCCATCCCCCAGTGCCTTCGCCGCCTCCTCCCTTTCCTCCTTCAAGGCCGGTCTCAAAACCTTTCTCTTTGACCGTGCCTTCAGCTCCCCTCTCGACTCTCTTCCCCCTCCTCGCTCCCTCCCTTCCCTCCCCTCACCCTGACCATTTCCCCCTTCCTCGCTCCCTCCCTTCCCTCCCCTCCCCTGACCATTTCCCCCTTCCTCGCTCCCTCCCTTCCCTCCCCTCAACCTGACCATTTCCCCCCTGCTCGGGTCATGACCCAACTGTGCAGCGCCTTGGGACGTCCTCCTGACGTGAAAGGCGCTTTATAAATGGAATCTTGTTGTTGCTGTTGTACAAATTGGGAGATGACTTGGATTTAGGATTATTTGGGCACTAAAAAAATACTTTACGATTTAGCCATTTATCCCAACAGAAAATACAACTAGTGCAAAGAAATCTAAGCTTCTTTTTGAAGGAAACTGAATGGAACGCAAGTGCATGTAGAAATTGTGCATTTGCACAATTTATAAAGAGACAACTTGTGCTTGTTTTACTGTACAAAAATGCCCAAAGCCATCAAAAGAATGGAATATACCACAGAATACATTGACCCATCCATTAACATGGAATACAAGATTAAAGAGACAGTTAGAGACTACAACTGGAAAAAAGGCAAATGGTCTACCTTTGATAATTTCATTGCATTCTTTGGAGGCAAGTTTTCTTTCTGTGACACTCGAAGGATTGACTGTCTTCCCGTAGGCTCCATCACCACAAATGGATCACATTGTTCATCGCCTGCGCCATTACAATCCAAGATATTGTTTTCAATGAAATGCAGACTCATTCTAGCAAAGGAATAGCACAAGCACAAGGGAGATAAGTCAGATTACTAAAAGCTGTTTTTTCAGATAAGGGTGCCTGCTTTTAAACCACTAATATAACATACATATTAAACACTAAAGTCAGGTGAGATTTACCTGAACAATACTATTGAAATCCCACCAACTTCAATTTTATAGAAAACTGTTATGTATTTCACAGATCGTTGCTGGGTGTCTGCTACCATCATTATGCTTACAAGTATTCCATTCAAGTGGTCCATCCAAGCCACCTAGACATAGAAATTCTCATGTCTGGTATTATCCTGGAGGAAAGCACCCTCCTTACTTAATTGTGGAGAGTATTAAGCACAAATTGGCAAGAGCTGAGGTTTGACTACCCCAGAGTGTGCGTTGGAGTACCACTGGAATTTAACCAGCTAAGACCACATAGCTTGCCATTAAAAATACTGGCTGGTGAAGCTTCTTGAGCTCAGACCACCCTATCCATTAGGGCTTTGGCAGACAGGTTGTACAACAATTGAGTGGGAAAAATCCCTGTCCCTATGACCAATCTGTCACACCAAGTTCAGCTGATGAGCCAGGCTGGCTGTGTTGTCATCAGCAATGCCCTGGAAGACTGCAGACCACACTGACTCAGGAACCAGTCTACCGAGACCACCAGAGAGAACTGGTACCAGAAATGAGGGGCTTCAGTTATCAGGAGAGGCTAGAAAAGCTAGGATTATTCACCTTGGAGGAGAGAAGGTTAAGAGACTCAATAGAAGTTTTCAAAATTATGAGGGGATTCAATAGAGTGAACAAAGAGAAACTATTTTCACTGGCAGATGGGTCGGTAACCTAAGGGCACAGATTTAAAATAGTTGTTATAAGAAACAGAGGGAGGTGAGGAGAATTTTTTCACACAGCGAGTTGTTCAGATCTGGAATGCATTGCCTAAAAGGGTGGGGGAAGCCGATTCAATGACAACTTTTGAGAGAAGTAGATGATTATTTGGCAAGGACAAGTTTGCAGGGCTATGGAGAGAGCGCAGGGAAGTGGGATTGAAATGGATAGCTCTTTTGAAAGAGCTGACACAGACACGATGTGCTGTAAAATTCTACAATACCTAAATACATTCCCCTTCTAACAATCAGCAATGTCTGCTAGGATGACTTTGTACCTGGATGCTATTTGCACTTCCAGTCCACCTAGAATCATAGAATTATACAGCACAGAAGGAGGCCATTCGGCCCTTCTCACTATACAGTCAGGCACAACTCTATGCACTTTGGAGAACTTGAATACCTTGGCTTGTTTCAAACGGCCCTTTTTGTCAGGCAACAGCTACAGCTCCTTTCCTTATCCAACATGGCTCAACATCCCATTCAGTGCTTCAAAATTGTCTCCCAATGTGGAAGGCGCTACATAAATGTCAATTCTTGTTGTTCCTGCCTCTGGCTAAAATTCCAGAGGTGGACTTTAAAAGCTTATGGTGCCATTCAAAAAGTGAAGGGAGTTTCTCCCATTGTCCTGGTCAACAATCCCCCAAATAAAATAGGTCTCTCACTACACGGCTGTTTGTGAGGCATTGCTGTGCACAGACTGGCTGCCAAATTTCACCCACAAAATTTTTCTCACTGGCTAACCTGTGCGCGCCCTGATCTTTTTCACCTTCAGCTCTTCTTGAATGCTTTAAGCATCAGCCTGCAATGAATAACCAATTTTAGTTGAATTATTGACCAGGGCACCAAGTGCTCAGTCGGTAGCACTGGAGTTAGAAGGTTGTGAGTTCAAGCCCCAATTCAGGACTTTAACTGAGGATGTATTATATTGTAAGAGGCACCATATCATCTGCCTGTTCAGGAACTCCACAAGTGGATTTTAAAAATCTCATGCCACTATTCACAAAATGAAGGGAGTTTCTCCTGTTGTCCTGGTCAACAATTCCCCAAATAAAATCAGGCACTCACTACATTGCTGTGCACAAATTGGCTTCCATATTTCACCTACAAAATACAGTCACTGCACTTAGTTTATCCTGTGAAATGACAGACATAAGGCACCATGTCAAATGAAAGGATTATCATCTGCCCCCATTCTGAAGGCAGATCCCAGAGTCCCTTCGCCTCACTCCTTCCCTCAACTCCTATCAAGGCACTTCTCAACAACTTCCTCTTTGATCGCGCCTTCGGTCACCTTTCCACTCCCTTGCCATCCACCTGAATGTAACCCCAGCTCGGGTGCAACCCGTGCAGGTGACCTTGCTAATCATGACACTATATGACTCAGGTGAAGTGAGCACAACCACCTGGCAAGGAAAGGGCCTCGGTTCAATTCATGGACAGGGTGCAACAACATGCATTTAGCATCATGGAGCACTACACAGTGCAAGGAGATAGATGGGGTACGGAGTTGAAGGGCGCTGAGCAAGGGAGAAAGGAAAACAAGGGGAGGGACCACAGGTGTGGTTTCTCCCGATGTCCTGGCCTCAAATAAAATTGGTCACTCACTCCATGGCTGTGGGACATTGGCTGCCTTAGGCATCTGTTTACCTACTCTACACACCTGTTTACCTAGTGGTAAGAAGGAACCCGGTTGCTAGTCAATTGGCGGACTGCTTTCCAGAAGTAATCATCCATCGAAAAAATGTGGTCATTCACTCTACTATCATTTGTAGGACACTTGACAATTGCTGCCGTGTTTCTTCCATAAATACAGTTAATTCACGTTGCAATATACTGTATTCTGTGAAGCACCATTTGAGACTCTCAAGGACATGACAGGGCACTATGTCAAATGCAAAGTTAATATAAACACAGCACTGACCAGCACCCAGGAATGGCCCAACATAAAAGGTGCTATATAAACGCAATTTGTCATTGTTGGTGGTGTTGCAATAATTAGGACATCTCCTTGCCTTTCTGAAACAGCCTCCGATTTAATTCCAAGCAGTGCTCACAGCATTTTTTTGGTGGTGTGGGGGAGGAGACAAACAGCTTAATTAATGGAATACGCCATTCAGCCCCTCAAGCCTGTTCCATCATTCTATAATTAAATAATGACTAATCTAACTTCAACTCCACGTACCGAGGTTTGGTCACTCAATCCACACTGTGTGTGGGACTCTGCTGTGCGCAATTGGCTGCCACGTTTCACCCACAAAATACACTGACAATTCACTTTACAGTATATTTTGGGAAGCACTTTGAGACGTCTCAACAGCATGATAAGACGCCACAAGCTGCAGGTCATTCAGAGCTCTGCAGCTCGTGTACTGTCCCGCACCAGACACCGCGACCACATCACTCCGACCCTCGCCCTCACTCCGACCCTCGCCCTCACTCCCACCCTCGCCCTCGCTCGCCTCCACTGGCTCCCCATCCCCCAGAGGATCGAATTCAAGATCCTCATCCTCACCTACAAGGCCATTCACAGCCTCGCTCCCTCCTACCTCTCCGACCTACTATCCCCCTACCTACCTGCCCGTACCCTCCGTTCCTCTGGCTCCAGTCTGCTCCACATCCCCGCCCCAACCGCCCTACCATCGGTGGCCGGGCCTTCAGCCTCTCAGCCCCCAGGCTCTGGAACTCCATCCCCCAGTGCCTTCGCCGCTTCCTCCCTTTCCTCCTTCAAGGCCGGTCTCAAACCTTTCTCTTTGACCGTGCCTTCAGCTCCCTCTCGACTCTCTACCCCCTCCTCACTCCTTCCCTCCCCTCCCCCTGACCATGTCCCCCCTCCTCGCTCCCTCCCTTCCCTCCCCTCCCCCTGACCATTTCCCCCCAATGCTCGGTTCCTGACCCAACTGTACAGCGCTTTGGGACGTCCTCCCGACATGAAAGGCGCTCTATAAACGCAATCCTGTTGCTGTTGTATATCAAATGCAATGATTATTATTATATGCACTGATACCCTTCCCTAAACAAACCTCTATCAACACAGATATGTACACGACACATAATTACATATATATTGAACAGATGGTGTCCTCACTACAAGGGATAGGAGAAGAAAAATGTTACACGGAGCAGTGAATTGCCTGCACCGGCCTGGGGTCCATCTCTTACCTGACGACGCCGCTCTCTGGCCGGGCTGGGCTCGGGCCGCTCTCTGGCTGGGGCTGGGTGGCTCTCTGGCCGGGCTGGGCTCGGGCTGGGGCCGGGCTCGGGCTGGGGCCGGGCTGCTCTCCGGCTGGGGCCGGGCCGGGCTCGGGCCGCTCTCGGGCTGGAGCTCGGGTGGCGCTGGGGCCGCTCTCTGCCCGGGTTGGGGCTCGGGCTGGAGCTCGGGTGGCACTGCTGCCGGGTTCGGGCCGCTCTCGGGCTCGGGTGGCTCTCTGGCCGGGCCGCTCTCGGGCTGGGGCTCGGGTGGCTCTCTGGCCGGGCCGCTCTCGGGCTGGGGCTCGGGTGGCTCTCTGGCCGGGCCGCTCTCGGGCTGGGGCTCGGGTGGCTCTCTGGCCGGGCTGGGTTCGGGCTGCTCTGGGGCTGGAGGTGGCCGAATCTTCACTGATTCAAAAAGTTTAACCGTTTTGGGCGGGGACCAATAGGAGCCAAGCGCTCGTTCGGTTGGTCGATATGAACTGGCCAATCACCGCGGAGCAACGGCGCAGGCGCCGCACGGCTGTTTCACGGCTCCGACTGCAGTGCGCAGGCGCCGCTCCAGAAGTTTTCAATTGTTGCGTCAACAAATGAGGTTTGTGCATCGTCGCCACGTCAGGAGCCAACAACAACAACAACAAGGATTTATATAGCGCCCTCCACACTGGACGGCGTCTCAGAGCGCTTCACAGTAATAGGTCCCGGGATCCGCTTTGATTCCTGAGGCAACATAATAATCCTTGCATTTGGTTGGCTTCTTTTGCTCTTTCTTCGACGTGAAAACCCGCTAATGTTAACGCAATTTGTTGTTGTTCAATTTCTCCGATCAAGGACTGCATTAAATAATGTTGGAATTATTAATGACTTTTTTTTAAAAAAAATTTGGGTCAACTGGGTGTCTGGCACAAGCAGAAAAGCATCACTGCTTAAGAGCATTGGCGATGCAAACTTTTCACCAAGGGGGGGAAGAAGGGGTGAAGCCGGAGGTTGAGGGAAGAAATCGTCGCACGTTTCAACGACTCCCAGGGTCAGGCGACCAAAGACGCTGCAGTGATCGCTGATCAAAGATAATAATCTCTGCAGATTGGGTGACTGAACACCTCCGTTCTGGAGCACAAACACGACCCTGAGCTTCTGGTTTCTTGCCACTTCACCTCTCCCTCCCACTCGCACTTTGACTTCTCCATCCATGGTCTCCTACGCTATTCCAATGAGCCACAGCGCAAGTTCGAGGAGCAGCACCTCATTTATCTGCAAGGAACCTTACAGCCCTCTGGCTTCAATATTGATTTCAACAATTTCAGACCATAACAGCTCACATTCCCCCTCCCCTTCTGTGACCATTACCACATCACCTGGGTCCCAGACACACCTTTTTCCTCTCTCTGGTCTCTGTCTGTTGCAATTTCCCGCCCCCTTTTGTTAACACCTCTATTCCCCTGTTTTATTGCAATCCCCCCTTTGCATTATTAACACCTCTTTAACCCATCATCCTCTGTCCTCTACCCCATTTTCTCCTTTGTCTTCCTTGCCCTGCCTCCCCCCTCTCCATTAAGCCTTAAAAGCCCCTCCTTCACAACATGCCCCAGTTCTGACGAAGGGTCGTGGACCTGAAATGTTGACTCACTTTTCTTTCTCCATAGATGCTGTCTGAATTGTTGAGTGTTCCCAGCGACTTCTGTTTTTGTCTTGTGATAATAATCTTTGCATTTGATATAGTGTCTTATTATGTCGTTCAGATGCCTCAAAGTGCTTCACAGGCTAACCTGTGAAGTGCATTGACTGTATTTTGTGTGTGAAATATGGCAGCCAATTGCACACAGCAATGTCCCGCAGCCATGGAGTGAGTGACCAATTTTATTTGAGGCCAGGACATTGGGAGAAACCGTACCTCTAGTCCCTCCCGTTGTTTCCCTTTCTCCCTTGCTCAGCGCCCTTCAAGTCCGTACCCCCTTCATCTCCTTGCACTGTGTCGCACTCCATGATGCTAAATGCAAGTTGTTGCACCTCACCATTGTGTAGCGCTTCTTGGTTGTTCTGTATGAATGGCACTGTGAAAATACAAGTTGTTATATTTGCCCAATTATGTCTTATGTGAGGAGTGAGAAGAATCCCTGACACCTACCCAAAATGTGTGAAGTGCAGTTTGCACGTTATAGGGGCTGCACCAAAAGCCAGGGCTGTTAGTGACCAGGGTTGCGGGAAATTAAAATACATTTGAAACCAAAGTCAACCAAAAACACTTGCCCAAAAGTTACCCAACATTATGCGTTGCCTCCTATAGGGGTTGCAGCGAAGCGGCCAATTCAGGTCAGTGCTTTATGTAAGAAAAGATCTGCGAAAGGAAAAATAAACAAGTTTTGCAGGTTTAAAAGTGGAAAATTACAGAGGTACAAATACCCGCCCAATTGGGCGCGAACCCGCCCCAAAACCCGCAGCGTGGCTGGGCTGTGCGCATGTGCAGAGACCGGATATCCGCGTTGCCAGGTGACCGAGGCCCAGGATGGACAACCCCGAGGCCGTCTTCAGCCTCTTCTACGCCGTCTTTTCCTTCTGCTTCGTCTTCACTCCCACCGAGTTCCGCTCGGCCGGGGTCACGGTGCAGGACCTGCTCTCCGACCTGCTGGGCAGCGAGGACCTGGGCTTCATCTACTACCACATCCGCAGGACCACGGCCACCGTGGCCGTCCACTCGCTGCTGCCGCTCGGTGAGGCCTTCTGCCCCCCCCCCCCCCCCACACACACACACCCCGGGGGGGGGGGGCAGTGATACCGGCGGCCGGGCCTGAGCAGCCCTCCCCAGTCAGTGCCGAGCACTGCGGTGCAGTCGGTGGGGCCTGAGGAGCCGCCCCCGCGGCCAGGCAGCCCCAGGACTGTGACGAGCAGCACTCGGTAGGCAGTGCGACCTGAGTGATACTCCCTGACAGGCACTGAGTGCACTGAGCGACACTCCCCAGACAACTCGCTGGTATTTTTTGTCACTGAATCAAGAGGGGGAGGGCTGCACTCTCACCCGCGCCGTCCTTTCAAGGAAGACATTAAAACTGAAGTTCCTTTTGTCTGTTCAGTAACTGTGAAAGAGGGCTTCAGAAGTTGATATGAGTCTCCCCGGTGTCCTGATCAAAGGTCCTGAGGATCATTCACCTCGTGGATGCCTGGCTCCTTGCTGCTTGCAGAATGGCTGCTGCTTTTGCTCAAAAATCCAACACCTATATTTAAACCCTCTTCAGTAATTCAAACCTCTTAAGAATGTGTTGCTGATTATATGTGTAATGTAGTCCATACTTCCCGATGAACCATATTGCAAAGTGGTCAGCCTTCTGTGTTTAATACACTGAAGTGTAGTAATAATAAAGGAGAGCCTGCATCCTATCCGGCCCCTTTTATCCCCATCCTCACCTGCTTCCAGTTACCCAGTCAATTGACATCAAAATCCTGATCTTGATCTTCAAATCCTCGTATGATTTTGCCCCCATCCTACTGCCTTTAACGCTATTCTTTACGGTGCTGCTCCTTCCCATAGCTTCTACTTTCCTGAGTCTGGTCAACTGTTTTGCCGAGAACATTATGTCACAGGATATTCAACCCAACTGATCAGTGCTGATGTTTATATTCTATTTGAACCTCCATCTCTCTTCCATATCCCACTATTGCATCTTGCTCATGTATGCATCAAATTTCCTTTAAATACATTGATGTTGCTTTCTGCTTCAACCACAGCTTCCAGCAGAGAGTGTCACTTTCTCATCACCCTCTGCTTAAAACGTTTCCTCTTAGATTCCTGTGTAGATCAGCTGTGGCTATTTTATGCCCCTTCAATTTGGACTTGGCAACAAGTGAAAACAGTCTCTTAACTAACATCTGTATTGATCCTTTCATAATTTTAAAACACCCTGTCAACAGTCATTTCCAGAGAGTAAAGGGCTAACCTTCAGCCACCATGCCTCCACTCTTTGGAACCCTAGAATAAAATCCCTTCACCTTGTGTTTTTTCATCCTGCTTCTTAAAAACTTATCTCTTTGACTATTATTGGTCAACATTCTCAAATGATGTCTTCTACACTCCCCTCTTTTCTGAGTCTGGTCTTCTGCCTTACATAGAGTGCTGATATCCATCATCTTTGTGGAGCCCTGTAGTTTGGTGGTTGGAGCCTCGCAAGCGAGAGGACATGGGTTCAGTTCCCGGGCAGTTTCCTTACTCAACATGCCTGTTTACGCCAAACGCTCAGGGACGCTACCCTGCATGAGAGGCACTAAATGCAAGTTCTTATTGTTTACCTAGCAGTGAGTAGGAATCTGGTTGTTGGTGTTCTTTTTTCCGAGGGTAATAATCCCTTCAAAACATTTTGTAAAAAACAAAGCTTTGTCACACAATCCACAACTGTGGAACAATTGGCTTTTTGTAGACGTTTTTGCCTACAAAATGTACAGTCAATTCTTGAGACAAAAATGTGATAAGGCACTATATCAAATGCAAGGGTTATTATTTTTGTAAAATGCTTTGAGACATTTGTCCTATGTAAAAGGCAACTTTTACTGTGTGCAACTTGTTGGCATTTGTGGATTGCAAAGTCAAATAACTGAATAAAGCTCAGGACCTCCTTTTCTCACCCAAAAAATAATGAATTGACAAAGCTCACGAATAGGAATTTTGTGTGCCTTTATTGGGGCATTCCATACTGTAACTAGATTATTTCTTTGTTTCAGGGTACTATGCAGGAATGTGTATTGCATCTTCCGACGAGAAACCTTTTTACTTTCTGCTCAGCGAAGGCTGGATTGTGTACTTGGTGATTGCTGTGCTCATCCCCACATTTGTTAGCCTTGTGGCATTGTACTGGTCCTTAAATAAGTGGGGCAACCATCCGATAGCCAGAAGTCTTGCATACCATGCCCTTCCACAGTCGGGTTGGAGAGCTGTGGCATCATCTGTTAACACTGAGTTTCGAAGGATTGATAAGTTTGCATCTGGTGCACTGGGAGCGAGAGTTATTGTCACTGATACCTGGGTGATGAAGGTAACTACGTACTGTGTTTACATAGCACAGCAACAGGATATTCACCTCACTCTAACAGAATCTAGGCAGCATGAGTTGTGCCCTGATGTGAATGCACCTGTACAGTTCCTCACTATCAGAGTGTCCAGCATCAATCCTAATGTCAAACCTTTCGACATCAGGTAAATAATGGTGTAATTAAGACTTGAAAATGCAACATTAATTTCTGTAAATGTCTGGTTGTAGAAATGAGTGTTATGTGGGCCTGATTATTTTCCCTGCACACGAGCATCTCCCAACTTCCTTACCTATACAATCACCATCAAGCTTACTACCTGCCTCCCATGCTTCCCACAGTAAGCTACACCAGCCTATCACCCACATCCCCTCCCGGCTCCATTGGTTTCCCATCTCTCAAGAGGATTGAGTTCAAGATCCTCCTCAATTTTAAATCCTTCCATTACCCCCAATCTCTAGAACTCCATCCCAGAGTCCCTTTGACTTGCCCCTTCCTTTACCTTTTTCAAGATCCATCTCAAGACTTTCCTCGTTGGTCATGTNCCCCCCACACACTCCTACACACCTTGGTCCCCAATCCTTCTGAATCCAAACCCCAGCTCGGGTGCAAACCCTCAACTGTCTTGGAACATCCTCCTGACACGAAACTCGCTATATAAATGCAATTTGTTGTTATTATTGTTGTTGCCTGTACCCCTCACTTCTGATTCTGGTCATTTGATTGTTTCTCACTCTTTCCATCCCACTGTTTATGAGCAGATCTTCAGCTTCTATGCCATGCTCTATGGAACTCTTCCCCCAAACCGTCTTATCTCGCTTCCCCTCTCCATGCCTCAAAATCCTTCTAAAAACATAATTTTTGTGACTTCTTTTGGTCAGCATTTCAAATTCATCCTTCTCCCTGCTTGTTGATGGATTACCTTTGAGACAGTCATCCTTTGTGTGGGACATTATTATGATTGTTGCTCGTCAGGTTTGTGTCTGATCTCTACCAGATGCCCCCATCTCCTAATTCTGTGTCAATTCATGAAGTAGCTACATTTTTTGTATGCACACTGGCATTCTTTAAAAGTATTGACCAAACAACAGGAAATGATCAGACTCCTATCACTGATGAGATAAGAATCTAGTTACACTGTGTAATTTTTTAAAATGGAGATAAAATAATTCTTGCATTTAATACAGCACCAATAATGTTGAAACGTCTCAAAATGCCCAATTTATTTGAAGGATTATTGGCCAGAACACTGGGAGAAACTCTATTCTCTTTTCAAATACTGTCATGTGGTCTTTAAACACCTAAACATTGAACATACAAGGCAACCTTCTGACCCAGAGGCAAGTGTGCTACCAACAGAGATAAGCTGACTTGCTTATGGTCACACAGGTTTTTGACACATACAGAAGCCCATCTGCATGCTTAATAGTATCGAAACCAGACCACACATGTTTGCTTCCTCCACACGGAAATTTCCCTGAGTGTAGAATAGAATGCACACTCTCTTTCTGGAGGGACACATCCTACTCACTTAACTCTGTATGTTCAGTCATCTTCCTCTTCACCTCCCCCCGCCTCACCACCACAGTTCAGGAGTCCAGCCAGCTGTTTAAAGCATTTTGCGATGCCCTCCCAAAGTGAAAAACTTTATACAAATATTCACAGATTGGCTGCTGTGTTGTAATATAAAGTACAGTCACTGCACTTTACAATAAATCTTGTGAATCACTTTGAGACGATGATATGGAAAACATTATCAAATGCATTGATTATTATTGTTGTAGCACAAATTTGGTGAGAGCCAAGGCTTGAGGTCCCCAGAGCATGTGTTTGAGTACTGCTGGAGTTTAACCAGCTAATCTAGTTTATCATTGAGAGCACTGTTTGAGCTAAATTAACTCTAGAAGTTAGTATTTAAAGAGAACAGAGGAAAATCAGCTTTCAAATTAAGATTGAATTTGATAATTTTCCAGGTTGAATAAATTTTGCTATGCTGCTGAGGCCTAGCCAAATTCTTATCTGGTTAAACTCCAAGCCTTGGCTCTTGCCAACCTGTGCATAATCCTTCCCGGAATTAGGTAAGCAGGATGCATCCCTCAGGGAGAAAGCGCACATTCCATTCCAAACATTCTATCTCTGGGATTTCCATGTGTGGATGGGATGCATAGAAATCTCAGTTTGGTTTGGATGCTCTTAATCCTTACCGGCAAAAAGAATAAAATATCAATCCACCAACCAATCAATCAAAATGCAAAAAATATTTTTTTAAAAACTGAAGGGCAATAAAAGTCTATTTCTGGGTTACAAGCACAGCATCATTGCACATTTAGTCTGATGTTAAGCAGTGCACAAGTGTCTCGCAGCACCCCATCTCTGAAACCTCCTTCACCCATACCAATTCAGCCGTTCCCTTTACTCGGTCGACACTGGCCTAATCCGCATCTCCAGCTCTATCCACTCCACCGTTAGCAGGCGAGCTATCAGTTAATTTTTGCCAGGTCCCTTGAACTCCAATCCCTGGTCCCTCCGACTCTTTCAAAGCACATCTCAAAATATACTCCTTTAACCGCGCTTTTGGTCGTCTTTCCTGTCCTCATCCCACCCCTGCCCCCCTGCTTCCACCCTCAGCTCTGGTGCTCAACCATTATTTTGAGCATTTTGGGATGTCTTTCTGAAGTGAAAGGCACGATATAAATGTAACTTGTGTTGTTTTGACATGTTGGGAGTGGGTGGGAAGTAGGATGAGAACTTTAATCTGCTGCTTGTCCAAGTCCATGTATCTATGTTTATCCACAGGCTGAATTCAACTGAGTACGGAGAACTACGTGAGAAACTCCACATGCCAGTTCGAAATGCCCATAATGTGGTGATCCACCAGTCTCTGAGCGATATGTTTCTTGACACATTCAAAGTCCAGGTGGAACTGAACCAGCCTTATCCCCTCACTGGTAACCAGGTATATGTCACCTGATTGACAATGCAATACACTCCATATGTTTCTGTTTACCTAGTAGTAAGTAAGAACCCGGTTGTTAGTCAATAGTCATGGAGTCCTGTAACTCAGTGGTTAGAGCACTCGCTTTGCAAGCAAGAGACCTGAGTTCAATTCCAGGCAGAGGGCGAAACCATGGGCAAGTTTCCTTACTCCACACTCCTAATAATAATCCCTCCAAAAAAAAATAATAAATTGTTCATTTTCAATTTACGACTGTTTGTGGGACACTGCTGTGCGCAATTGGCTGCCCACAAATATACAGTCAATTCACTTTACAGTATATTCTGTGAAACGCTTTGGGACGTCTAGAAGACATGAAAAGCGTTATATCAAATGCAAGGATTATTATTTATTATAGGGGGATCGCTTTCCAGGGGTAATAATCCCTCCCCCCCAAAAAAATTGGTCCACGACTATTTGTGGGACACTGGTGTGAGCAATTGGCTGCTGCGTTTCACCCATAAATACACAGGTAACACACTTTACAATAAGTTTGTGAAGCACTTTGAGATGTGTCAACGACGTGATAAGGCGCTATATCAAATGCAAGGATTATTATTATCAGGATAGATACAGAGCGGACGGAGGTCAGGCGTTTCCAGAAGCCATCAAAAATAAGGGTGGCTAAATTTTGTGTGAAAGGATGTATTTATAGCATGAAATAGTACACAATCTTCTCTAACTGAGATACATTTGCCTCTGGAACAGGAACTGGAGGCTTGCATTGGCTGCATGCAAACCGCTGCTAACATCAAGCTGGTCAAAGTCTGCCAGGAGCCGAACGGAGGTGAATGCCAGCAGTGTTACTGCCGCCCCATGTGGTGCCTGACCTGCCTGGGAAAGTGGTTTGCCAGCCGCCAGGACCAGCAACACCCAGAAACTTGGCTTTCAAATCGTGTGCCCTGTCCCACCTGCCGGTCCAAGTTCTGCATTCTAGATATTTGTATTGTGCGCTGAACGTCCGAGGGGTAATAGTACTTTCTCTGTACAAAAGAATGTCTTCAATTGGTGAGACTATTTAACCGTTCCCTCATCTATCTTATGGACGACTCTGGTTGATTGGTTTCTGATTCTGGTGATTAGGCTGATTTTGCACCACCTCAAATATCCCTCATTTTCCTTTTCTTTCTCTTTAATTGCTGCCTTTTGACATTTGTGGCATTCTTCACCAAGGTTTCTTCTGAAAGGAGAAATTAGCAAGTGGAATTCTTCAAAACAAGTGCTATGACTATTCTCCCCACTTCCCCCCACCTCTTGCAAAATGGGAGTCCTGTGTTACCAAAAGCTAACCATTAGGTGGACTCAAGGGCTCAATCCTCCAGACTGCTGCAGCACTTGCATTACTAAACCACCAAATTCAAATTGAATGGCACCCAAGTGGATTTGTATCGAGTCAGATTTATGCCAGGAATTCTGAATCCCATATAGTTCCTTTATGTAATAAGTCATTGGTATCTTTTGCAATTCTCCACCATTTCCAACTGCATTCAGCAAATGCACAAAGTGTTTAATATTTTATAACAGGCTATTGTTAGGATTTCTACTTGATCAGTACTACAAAGAACTAGACCATTTTTACTTTAATTTGCGCAATCCAAATTGAATATTTATGCTATTTTGATTGCTTTTTATTAACCCAGGCAACTTTCCTGAGGTGAAGCAGGGGAATTTCTGAGCATTATCTGTGTTTCCAGCTTTGTTTTTCATTTGAGCAAATCCGCTGCTTTTACAAGTTGCATCTAACTCATCTGAGACTTATAAGCATACACTTGACATTGAGAGTTTGCACTTTTCTCACAGCCGCACTTTCTCCACAAACAGGAGAGCAATTGCATTGCCAGCACGTTTCTAATCTTCTGTGATTATTTTGTCTTCAGCAATGAAGTTTCTGCATTGTGCCCTGCGCAATTCCCCCCCTCCCCCCCAAAGATTTAATAAAGATCTTCCAGAGTTAACTATTCCATAGGTCGAAATTGGTGTGAAGCATATTCTTATGAAATGGTGCCATTCTGAGAAAAGGTATTGTGTTGCCCTCTTAAAAACCAAGCTATTCAGCAGGATTTTACAACTAATCACTTTACAGTCAGCAACAGAATTGCTGCTGAGCTGTCAATCGAACTCAAAGGGAGTGATTTGGGGCACATAGCTGCATTGCAGAATAAATCTAGGCTGCAGGTGTCTGGTTAGAGGACAGTGTCACTGTTCCCTTTATTTTCAAATTGCGCGCCATCAGAGCACATAACCTTGCCTCTCATAGAAAGTCGTGAGTTCCTGAGACTTCTATTTCTAACTCCATTCTGAATTTCTCATCTGTTGACATTCTTGGCCTCATCATCACGGTACACCTGCATTGCTAAAGTTACCTCCAAGAATCCCAGTTTCCCATTCATGTCAAACACATCTTTTTCCTGTCAACAACTATTAACAGTCAGAAAATCTCCAAATTGACAATTTCCCCCATATTTAGAAATATGGGGATCTCGTTGCTCACATTACTACAAGAAATAGCCTGTGGGCAAAGGCTTAGGGACCCCAGAGTGTATGATGAGTGTTTGAGTTTAACCAACTTCAACTGCATAAGTTTCTATTGTGAGCACTGCCTGGCAAGCTTTCCACTGCTTGTCTGCCCTACCCAATAGGATTTTGGCTGGTGGGATTAACAGGAGCCGAGTGGGAAAAATCTCTGCCCAAGTGACTCATCTGTCCCTACAAATCCTGTCAATGAACCAGGGTGGCTGTTTTTTGATCAGCAGTACTGCTGAGCCACCTGTTACAAGTGACCANTTTTTTGTTAATGAAATCTGACTAATGTTCCCTTTTTTTTTATTTCTGTAAGAAACTGAGATGCAGTTTTTTAATCTGATGTGTTGAATCAGTAAAATACAGCACAGATGTTTTTCGTACACTTCATTTCCTATAACATTGTATGTTCTGCACAAACAAGTTGGAGGTGATGAGATTTGCTGTCATGGGTGCAAGCCAGATTATAACAAGTTTACATTATCAAGTACACGAGGGGTCCAATGGTCTTAAATCTTAAAAGCAAACCGGAGTAAACCAGTACCAATGTGATATCTTTCAACAGAGAACTTTCAAAATAAGTTAAAAAAAAAGCAACAAAAGAGAATAGGAAACACAAGAGCAAATTATTTTCAGTATAAGTGATAGGCATATGGAGCAGAGTGCAGGTGCAGATGGTAGACCAAGATACATTGATGAGTTTGGATATATTCACGTTCACACATTTAGAGATATTAGATTAAGAAATAGATATATCAACAGGACCTTTCGAGAAAATAGATGAGACTAGATGGACTGATGTCTGAAACTGTTACTCAATACTAACTTAGAAGCCAGTTTGTGATGTGTAGGTGATTAAAAAAATATTACAGAAAATTGCTGTCTGACCGTTTTGGAGTTTTTAAAATGCATTTGGTTAAAAGTTTGCATACGGAAAAGAGTCTAGTTTGCATGAAATGGCGATTTGATGATGTGCCCCTTCTCTGTCTGTCCTACAGTGAAAGATGTGCCACAGTATGGTTTCTAAGATCCCACAAATCTGTGCAATGCTTATTTGCATAAGATTCCCAACAAAGCTTTTCATTATTTCTACCATCCTGTTGGTATCACCGATCGTGCCTCTGTGAATTGTTTAAAAATACTGTATTTTGAAAAAATGAACACTCATCAAATTTATAATTCTATGTGCCCTGTGACCAATTAATCTGGGAGATTGCTGGCTTGAGCACTTGGAGAAACTCGCTCTTTTTTCCGAATAGCGTAGTAGAAAATAGTTTTAAATAATAAATAGTTGCTAAAACGTGGCGCTAACATGGGATTTTTATTAAAAACTTGCAGGAAGCAATCCTGGCCAAAACCTCCATGTAAACTTTAATGTGTCTCTTTTGTAACAGTTCATTGTGGTATTTGCTGTTGTGTCCTTGTATAATAACAGGACGGGATTTAATCCATTTTTACGATTCTGATCACCTTATTCCAATAAGGAATTATTTGGCATTGGTGAGGTCACAGGAAGGGACAACTAAATAACTATTTAATTGCCTCTTAAATTTGCTGACTCCATTCTACTCATTCATCAATCTCTTGAAAATAAATGAACTCTGAACTTCCCTCTTCTGAGTTTGCGTCCTTGTCCTCTTTTGCTTCACACTTCAGCCTATTTTGAAGTTGAAATTAAACCAAGGTCCTGTTTGCCTGCTCAAGTGGATAAGTGGCAATTTATTTTCTACTACAGTATTCAAAAGGAAAAGGGAGTTTCTCCCAAGTGCTCAAGCCAGCAATCTCCTAGATTAATTGGTCACGTGGAATGTAGAGCTAAATCTACTTAACTATGGAGAAACTATTCTGCTTTCCTTTCTGAGTTTCAGTTTATTTTGCAACGTAAATTAAGATCAGTGTCATCAGTTGGTATATTCTGGCTCCTGGCCCCATGTCCTTGCTGAGTCAGCAATATGAGTGCACAAAACGCTTGATTTGAAATCTACAGCAAAAACCTTAACTGTAACATAGATATTGACAGGTGTGTAAGCCTTTCTTCAGCATTTACCCATGAGTAAAAGTTGACAACTCTGCAGGAATTGCAGCTTAAAAGATTAGTGTGTCCTTGAATACGAATGAAAGATTGCACCACAAGCATCGCTGAAAGATTTATTTTGTAACTGTGTGTTTCAATAAATATATTTTTATCATGATAAACATAACTCGCAGTTTATTTGTAACTACAACTCATGTACAGGACAAAAACAGCATACAAAGGTTACATAAGAACATACGAATTTGCAAGACAAGGAAAAATCAATTTCTTTGCCAAATAAATACATATACAGAATCCTATAGTATAGTGGTTAGAGACCTCGCCTCACAAACAAGAGGATCCACGTTCGATTCCCAGATGGGGTGAAACCTTAGGCAAGTTTCCTTACTCCATATGCTTCTGTTTACCTAGCAGTAAGTAGGAACCCAGTTGTTGAGTGACCAAATTCTAACATTTTTTTTTAGGGCTTATTACACCCAGAAAAGTGAACTGCCAATCAACTAACAACTGTGTTCCTATTTACTGCTAGGTAAACAGCGGCGTGTGGAGTAGGTAATTTACATAACATTTCGCCCTGCCCGGGAATCAAACCCAGGTCCTCTCGCTTGTGAAGTGAGTACCCTAACCACTAAGACACAGATCTCCAAATTAAATGATCTCATGTGGTATAAAATCTGGCTTTATAGCAATGATAATTGTGCTTGTCTGCGTCTGCTTGTACTGATGAGTGTAGGATAGCATTTCACAAGCTACCTGTACTCTACAACAATGTGGTCTGCACCCTGCCAGATCTACCTCTTAGTGGTAGTAAATATTACAGGGACAAGCTATGAAGATTAACCAATTAAGATAAGAGATCTTCAGCCTCAAAAGGAGACATGTCTTGGAGGAGAATGTTTGGAGGTATAAATGATGCTTTACAGGATGAAGTAACTGCAGAATTCCCAGATGTGCCAAGCTAATGGGACAAGCGGTCACTGGTTCAGCATTGTAAAGGAAGTGTATGGCAGAAATCAGGAAGTATTTCTTTGCCGAATTTAACTAACAGCTGGAACAGATAACAGGGAAGGATGGCTGAGGCCAGGATGCTGGATGTGTTTGTGAAACAGATTTGTGCTATAATGGAAAGACTAGGATATTCTGGAAAGATGATACCAAATGAACCAAAATGCCTTCCACATTCAAACTTCTTTCATAATCTTGTGAAATACAGTAAACTCCTAATTTCTCAGCACTCCCAAGGGAAAAGGGCTCAGTGATCAGTTATCCAGAGTGACAAGTTAGGGATATAAATTACATAAATAAATGCACCCAGAATATTGACAGAGTGATGACTTAAATGGTAGTGACAAGTTAAGCCACGGTTGAGTAATCAGGAGTTTACTGTAGATCATAGCTGCGTGTTCCCTGCCCTCTCCACACCATCATTGGTAGCCAAGCTTTCAGATACTATGTTGTTGAACTCTGGAACTCCCTCCCTCTTTCCCTTTCAACCTTTCTCTTCTCTGTCATTTTATCTCTTCTATCTGTCTTTAAGTCCCATCTTAAAAAACTACCTCTGTGACTTCACCTACAGTTACCACCCCCCCACTCCAACATTCCCCCTCCCTTCTTTCTTGCTCAGTGCCAGGCTCTGCCTTTGTGATGTACTCTGAGATGTTATCCTCTGTTATGATTCTGTGGACTGTAAAACTACAGTCCTTTAACACAAAAGTCTTTAGGTAGACATCAGTACGTAGAAGAACTAACTGTTTTGTTACCAACAACAACAAGATTACACTGTCCAGCGCCTTGGGACATCTATATAGAGCCTTTCATGTCCGGAGGACGTCTCAAGGCACTGGACAGAGTACAGCATTTCAGATCCGAGCTGGGGTCGGGGGGGGGGGAGAAGGGAGGGAAAGGGGAGTGGCCGATGGCATGGTCAAAGAGGAAGGTCTTGAGGTGGGACTTGAAGGAGGCTAAGGAGGGGGCGAGGCGGAGTGATTGGGGGATGGAATTCCAGAGGTTGGGGGCAGAGTGGCTGAAGGCTCTCCCGCTAATGGTGGGGCGGGTGGGTCGGGGGATGTGGAGCAGGTCAGAGCCGGCTGAGTGGAGGGAACAGGCAGTTTGGTAGGGGGTTAGGAGGTCGCAGAAGTAGGGTGAGGCGAGGCCATGGAGGGCTTTGCAGATGAGGACCAGGTTCTTGAACTGGATCCTCTGAAGGATAGGGAGCCAATGGAGTCGGGCGAGAGTGGGGGTAATGGGGTCACGGAGTTTGGTGCGGGAAAGGACACGGGCTGCAGAGTTCTGGATTATCTGCAGCCTGTGGAGGGAGGAGTTGGGAAGGCCGACAAGCAGGGCATTTGCGTAGTCGAGCCTGGAGGTGATGAAGGCATGAACAAGCAGGGGTATCGTGCTGGAGTGGTCTGGAGTATCGCTCTGGCACCTGAAATCCAGAACAGAGCTGTGCTCCAGCACTTCAGAAATAAAAATCTGTGTTGATGAATGAGATGCGTTTTTCATCATGATTCTGCTATGGTTATCATCATGACTGATATGCAGAAGACATCACTTATCTCTCTGAGGAGTCAGCTATTGTGACAATATGTGAACCATGCATAATGCATCTGAAGAGAAACAAAGAGATAGATGGATGGTTGAATGAGAATGTGGAATTAGATGATGGACAGGCAGATGTGGGACAGGTTGTAGGGGTGGGGGGGAAGAGAAAAGTGGAAATCAAAGAAGATGCCACAAAATGCAAACCAATCATTGTTCCCAAGTCAGAGGGAGCCCAAAAAGCAGTCAATAATTATTGAGTGAAATTCCATTTTTTAACTACAGTTACATTTTTGCAGGAAAAGGTTATTCATCCCCTCCCTTGCCTCCTTCAAGGCCCATCTCAAGATTCTCCTCTTAGATCGTGCCTTTGATCACCCTCCTACCCCTACCCTGCCCAGCCTCCTGATGCCAACCACCAGCTCGAGTGCGGATCCCTGACTGTCCAGCGCCTTGGGACATCCTGCTGATGTAAAAGTGCTGTAAAAATGTAATTTGTTATTGTTGTTCTACAGGACTCCAGCACTATAAAATTTAGCATTACGTCACTGCCAATAAGTACAAATATTGTGCTATTTTCACAGAACTCTGTGGCAAATGGCTGGCAGCATTACTTTAAACAGAATCAGCTACAGAGGCAATAGCTATTTGATGTAAGAAATGAAACTGTCTATCCCTGCTGCAGAGCAAAAATGTTCATTTCTCCACCCCACACCCCACTCAACATGAAATAAAATAAAAAGCAAAGTACCGAAAACTCCCATATAAATGTGTTAAAGATTTTGCTTTGCAAAATGTAACTGTTAAAAAAAATGGAATTTCACTCAATAATTAGTGATTGTTTTTTTGAGCTCCTTCTGACTTGTTTGCATTTTGTGGCATCTTCTTAGCTTCCTGCTTAGTGGGTCCAATTCTTATTCCTGACTCAAAAGTTTACCGAACATTGAAAGTTCCATACCAAAGTACCATCTCCCCCCCCCACACCCCATCCACCAGGCTGTGAGTTAAATTGAGCTGCAACTCGACAGGCTAGGCTTGCTTCCTATCAGTGACATACTTGAGTCCAGCGGCCAAAGTCCATTTGAATCGAGGGGACCTGAATAAGCTAACATTCATATACATACACACTTACACATATGCGTAACCCACATCCACACACATCCACTTTTTAGCAAGGCTTACTGGCTAATTTTTGTTTTCGCCACCTGGGTCTGACACACGCTGAAACCCATCACCATGCTTAAGAGTATCCAAACCAAGCTGAGAATTCTAAACATCCCACTTACACATGGAAATCCCAGAGATAGATTGTGGGAATGAAATGTGCACTCTCTTCCTGGAGGGACACATCCTCTTACCTAATTCCAGAAAGTATTAGGCACAGGTTGGCAAGAGCCAAGGCTTGGGGACCCCAGAGTGTGCATTGGTGTACTGTTGGGCTAAGTGGGAGCTATTTTTGTGCCATAAAGGAAGAAGACTGATTGGATTGAATCAGCCGCTCAACCTGTTGTGAGCTTTTTTATTGTAGCGCAGAATACAATTGTTTCTCTCTGCCTCACTTGTTTACAAATTCTGTGCAGTTCTGTGTGCATACAACACACATTCCTTTCTTATCTCTTAGAACAACCTGACATCGCTGTTGTATGTATCTAAGCTTTGTTACTTAATATAATCAGGCAGATAACTTGTGCTTACCCTCTCCGCTTCTGAGAACCCACTTTGACTTGCTACGTGAACCACTTTCCTCCACCCCCTCCACTCTCTACTTTGTGGGTTCTGTGTAGGAGGCGTATGAAACGCCCGCAGCAGCCAATGTCAGACAGGATGATGATGTGGACACTGCTGTACGGATGATGTACGGTGTAGCTACACTCTACTCCTGAAGTAGTAGCTGCTAGTTTTACTTTGTGGAAAAAGGTCTCAGTCTGCCAGCCATGGAGAGGAGGAGATGTGTCCGTCGTTTCCCAAGACTCGTTCTCGTCTTTCAGCTGATATTTCTTCTGACCCGATTACTTCACACTGGTAAGATACAAACTCTTCCAATAAGGGCTTTTTTTTAATATATAAAAAAAATTGAAAAATCTTGCTGACTCGCTGCACTTAATAATTTGATCGGTCAATCCACGACTACTTGTGGACACTGCTGGGTCCACAAATAGTCGTGTCTGCTGCATTTCACCCACAAAATATACAGTCGATTCGCTTTACAGTATATTCTTTGAAGTGCTTTGAGAAATCTCGAAGATGTGATAAGGCACGATATCAAATGCAAGAATTATTATTATTAATACTTTATATGTCCCTTTGTCTTTTCTTTGTTTGAAACCATTTCAAATAATAAGAGCTAAAATACTTAATATCATAATCCTTGTATATGATGTAACATCTTTCTTGTCAAGAGAATGTCTGAAACTGCTTCACAGGATTTACTGTAAAACCCCCAATCTTCTGACCCAGAGGCAAGAATGCTATTAACTGCGCCTGGCTGACACAATATATATTTTGCCTCAATATTAAAATTACAAATGACATTTAAACAGGGAACAAAGTGATCATATTGACCCGAGAAGGACTGAAACTACCTTCACAAATTATTTAGCATTAAGAATT